CTTGAATGTCCTTTCTGGGGCCTGTGTCACTGAAAGTATACCGTCACAGTTCCTTACCTTTTATCTCACACGTCAAGACCTGATAGCCTTAAGCCCAGGTCGGATGATATCTGAAGTGTCCATATCCAGGAGGGAGCTAAGGCAGAGCCACTTGGTTGGAGTTGGCATCAGGTGGCGTTGGCCTACTGACTTCTCTTGGGATACTTACAGTTTTCCCACCACAGCCAGCATTTTTCTTGTATCTGAGAAAACTTGACTCTTCTGTGAGGGGGGTGTTGTGATGGAGGAACTGGGCATCTTCCAAGCCCAGGCTTGGTAACATGAGAAGGAGTGGTAACTGAGCTCCTTAGTGACTGCCCCAGGCTGTGGCTGGGCAGTGTCTTAGCAACCTGTGAGAACTGTTGGTCTTCCTGGAGCCTAGGTTTCCCTTGGCTGGAGGCCTGCCAAGGTTGGTTGGTGTATGTCATGAAGAAGTCCCAACCCGCTGAGGATCCCTAGTTGGTACAGCCTTGTCACTGAGTCTGGCTGGCCAGTGAGGAGGCGCAGATGGAGCAGGTGTTTGCACATGCAGGAACAGACCATCCCACTGGGAAGCTGGCTGGTACGATTTGAATAGACCTTTGAAGTGGGGATGCCAGAGTCTTGCCATGTAAAGCTTGGATCTGCTCCAGCCTGGCTAAATCCCTCAATGCACACCCCGTCAGGCTGAACCCAGAACAGGCAAGTCTTTCTTGACCCACAGGGTGGTAGATCCAGACTGAGAAGCGGACATAATTCCCCGTTACCACCCAGCTGCTCTGTGTACCCAGGAGCCTTGGGTTGACTCACAGTACTGGGTGAGGTCCATGGTGGGTTGGGCTAAGAAACAGTTCACTGGCTTGGAAGGGCATAAGTTCCTCCTGGGGGAGACTGTCTCTGTCCTTAGATGAGTAGTGGCTCCTCAAGTGGGGAAGAGCCGTCCAGAGAAACCCCGGGGGGCACCTAGTGTGGCCCAGCTCACGCTTACCATGTGGTTTGTCTTCCAGTCACTGGCCTCTAAGGCCGGTGTGCTCCCTCCATAGCCTGCCTCTCGTTCAGACTGTGGGAGTCACATGGGTGGGACCTTAGAGACTTGTGCTGCCTTGTGTTCCCACTCTTGCCTATGACCCCCACCCATTCCAGCTACCCTGCAAGAGGCCCCCTTGTTAATGAGCCTCAGAGGAATGGGGTACGGGGCTCAGTAGGAAGGGGACTGGATCAGCTCTTTCCCAAAGACCACCAGAGAACCCCTTCCCTTCTCTGGGGCCCTTGGTCAGTCCTACTCATTAGCACAGACTGTAGCCGGGGACCCCATGAGGGACGAGGGGCATTCTGGCTTTAGTCCCTGCTTCCTCCGGTCAGAGTGTGAGACGGGTACTGGCTTTTCCCTGGCTAGCGTCCTTCCGAGCATTGGGTTTTGTTCACAGTCAAGAGAGACACAGTCTCCTGCTCTGCCCTCTCCTGCCTCGCGCCCTGAGTTCAGACAAGGGCCAGGGCAGAAGTCCAGGCAGTGGGACCAGAGCCGGAGACCACTGAGAACCAGGGTGGAACTTGGGACTGTGGCTGGGAGCCAGCCTCGATATTTGCTGTTTTTTAAGTTTGGCTTCATCCTACCCAGAAATCATGCAGCGATTCAGGTGCCTTGTGCTGTTCTCCTGCATTAGACTCAGGATGTGGTGTTTAGCCAGAATCCAGAAGATGTTACACACACACACACACACACACACACACACACACACACGAGGACCCTTAGGGTTGTTACATAGCCATTGCTACTCCCTTATCAACCCTAGAGATAGGTGTTCTCCTCCCACCCCAGTGAGTGTTGCCCACAGCACCCAGGGGTTTGATTGACACGGGAAGAACGGGGAAAGGATGTCCATCCTGTCTTCTTGGGAACAAAAGTCTCTCATGAGTCATTCCTGGTTTACTCCAAATGCGATCTTTTATGAAAGTGTCCCAAGAGGCTTCAGGATACTCACCTGCCTTCAACTGGATCACTGCAAGTTCCAGGACCTTCATGGACATTTGGCAGTAGTTAGGTTCCTCCCTGGGAGGAACATATCTGGTCCTTCCGGAAGGGGCATGACCCGTGCATGCCTGTCTCTTCTTGGTCACTGCTGTGCCAAGCAAGTCAAGGTTGTGCCAGGCAAGTCAAGGTTAGGCCAGGACCTAGGAGAAGCCTGGATCATTGTCCTGGGGGCTAAGAAAGTCAGTTTCATGCATTAGAGCCTGGGGACCAGTCCCCGAGGACCACACAGATGTCAGACACAAAATCCCTGGGGAAGTGATAGGTACCCTTTGTAGTTGACCATGTTGTGGGGGATAGAGGGCAAGGGACCAAGCACCTTGGTATCTGCCCTTGGGCAAGGCCTATGACTCCTCTGGCCACCTGGTGGCTGAATGATGAACCTTGCCCCTAGATGGGGCAAGGGCAGGCAGGGGTGGGGGAACAAAACCCGAGGTCACCCAAACTCTCTCTTTCAGTTCACTATCTACTCCTTGTACTTCCTGGTACTCTCCATCATCTGCTTTGTCGGGGCTGCGCTGGACGGCTTGAGGTACTGCCGGCGGCGGCGCCACCAGCCCCTGCCCCTGCCCCAGGAGCTGAGCCCCTTGGAGAATTCTGTGCAGGTACTAAGCCTGCAGGATGGAAACCTAAAGGGACCACAACCCTCAGCACCACCGCTACTCCCAGAGGATGGTGTGGAGGACAGCGTGACAGGCTTGAGACTCGAAGCCAAGGCCTGACCCATCTTGACCTTCCTGGCTTCATCCCAGTTCAGCGGGAAGAACTCCTGACTCAAGCAAGCAACCCCTCCCATGTACCTCCATCCTGAACCAGCCCGGGCGGGATGCTGTAGACAAGACTCTACTGTCTTGAGTCCCACTGCCCAAGACATGTGGGCAGTTTGTTGCCTTCAGGAACCCCCAGAATGTTCACAGGATTCACCTTAGGAGCCACCTGCTTTAACTGAGGGACAATAGTTTGTCCCTGCTGATAGCGTCTGAGGACCCTAAACCCAGCCTACTTCTTGCTTTAGCTGTGGCCAAAGCCCGCTGGGAACACTCAGAGCAGCTGCCTGGCTTTATGGGACCCATATGCCAAGCCACTGTGAACCTGAATTGCCTATTGCTTGCCAGGAAGAGCCTGTATTGGGGTCAACTGCGCCTACCAGGCCAGCTCGCCCTTAGCCCTTGGAAGCTCAGGACAAATTCTCTCTGTCCCCAGGGCTAGTGAGGTAGCCCAGACTCCAGCCAAGGCACGCTGGCCCTGCAGGGTGCTGGTCCTTCTATATCCTGGCTTCTGGCTATCCTGTCACTTCTATCATGGGAGGTGCTTGTCTGGGTGACTATCTGAATTTTTTTTAAATAAAAATAAAAAAAATCTGTCATTAAAATGGAGAGCTCCTTTTGGTTTTTCTCTAGTGAAAAGCTGGAGTCAGGGGTTGATTAGCCTCAGCCAAAGCAAGGATACCTTGCAGAGACTAGGCCCTCGGTGTCCTTGAGTTGACCTCCAGCTCCACTGCAAGATCTGACACCCCTAGGGCGTGCACGTCATATCCGTCATATCCGTTCTGGCTGACTAACTCAGCAGAGAACCAAATTGCTGGTTATGGGGGCTGCTGAGCCAATTGTGCCTCTAGGACCTACCCAGAGGTCCACTTGAGAAAGGTCATCTTGGGGACCCTGGGCTGAGGAAGAGGCTACAATCAGGGCTGGCCAGACATCCAACTAGCGATGGTTTGTGAGAACACTGGGCCAGCTGCATTCACATCTGCCGCAGCACCCTGTGAGCCTTTCTGGGGAGGGCTAGTTCCATCCCTTCTGGGCTTGGGGATCTTGTAGGACACTACTGACGGACACAAGCCTTGTCCTTTGCCTCAGGCAGAGATAGTGTGTGGCCACCCCTGCTATGCCTGTTAACCCGGGGCAGCAAGATGAGCCTCTCGCAGCCAAAGCCCTCCCCCGCAGCACCTGCCCACCCTGGCCTACGGCTCTTTAGCCCTCACCTGGTGACCCATACTGGCTGAAGACTGTCACCTCTCTTATCCTGGGCCATTCTGTCAGCCACCAGCTGTTCTCCACTTGGCTGGAGGCTTTGGACATGGCCTTCTCTGTTTGGCAAGCACAGTCTCTTAGAGTCAGCCTCGGGATGAAAAGAGGTGGGTCTTGGGCCCAGTGAACAAATCTCTGCAAAATTTGGAGATTTATTTTATCCATGTGAGTGTTTTCTTGTGCATGCACGTGTGTGTGTATGTATGTGTGTGTATCACATGTGTGCCAGGTGCCTGTGGAGGGCAGAAATGGGTGTCAGATTGCCTGGAACTGGGGTTATGGATGGATGGATGGGATTTAAATTGCCATGGGGGTGCTGGGAGCTGAACGCTGATCCCCTACAAGACCAGCAAGTGCTCTTAATTGCTGAACCATCTCTCTAGCCTCCTCGACATGATTTTTGAAGTCACCTTATGTGCATTGCTGGATACCAGGTGGCAGGTACTGACAGCATTTGTACACATCTGTGCAATACATTGTATACCTGTGTATGCCCGCACACCTTGTACATACACACTTGCATATGCCTTTGTACACATGTGCACAGACATCTGTGTAACCAGGCATACCGTGCACACCTCCGTGTACCACATACGTACACAACACACACATTTATGCCTGCCATTGTATGCCTCTGCACCCTTGTGACAACCATGCACATTTGTGTATAACTGTGCCTAGTCTCTGTATACCCTACCCATCCAAACCTGTGCGTATACACACCTGACCACGTGTGCCACCACATGTACACATGCATGTCTGTTGGTAGAGGCCCGTATCCATGGACACATGACTATATCCACACTCACCTGTACTCCCTCTGTGGGCCTCCAGCTGGGGAGCGCAGGGACAAAATGAGCTCCCAGGTCTCATTTTGGATGATTTGTCCTTTTCGTAATGGGAAGGCAGCTATAAACCAAGTGTCTGTATAAAAGGTCACTTTTATTTGGTACCTCTTCGAAATGGCTTCATATCACACAGTCACAGAACTAGCCCCATTGGATTTGTCCCCATCCTTGGGCATCAGAGCCTGAGGCAGGCATAGTGGCTCTGATCGGCCACTTGTGGCCCTGAGCACACATGTCTCTCCGTCAGGTGTTTGGTGCAGCTGCTGCAAGATCCCTGGACCTCGGGCTGGTGAGCAAGGACAGGGTGCTCTCGGGACCTAGCTCTTGGCCTTGGTTGGGCTTGGGTTTCACTCTGGATGGGATCTCATGGGTCACCAGGGAGGCCAGACTGAGAGACAAGCCTGAGGGTGGGCCCCATGTCGCGTCTGGCCCCCAGGCAAAATGAGCACGTGGGCTAAGCCTGACCACACTCCTGGCCTCTGTACACAGTGACAGGACAGGGTTCAGATCCGGTCGTCACAGTGAGTACTAAGCTTGGAAACCTGCTCTGGCAGGGAGTGTTGTTACTGGAGACGGGGGAAGCAGGAGAGGTGGTTCCCACCAATCAGCATGGGTGGTCCCAGTTAGCACCTGGGTGAGCAGGTGCCTGCCTGTACTGTTGGCAGTCACCGGGTGCTGAGAGGAAAGTCCCAGCTGTCCTGCACTGTCCCGGGGTCTGTCCCCAGCACGCACATGGGACTGCCTTTTAAAGGCTCTGTGCCCGGAAAGATGCCAGGTTAGAGGAAGTCAGCAGGTTTGGGGCAGCAACCCTAGGGCAGTCCCCTGCCGACACCCAGCTATGGCCTGACTTGGCCCTAGAGCTCCACCAAGCATGGAGGAGGATCTGTGACCCCAGCCTGGCCAGTTCAAGTGGGAGAGGAAGAGCAGGAAGTCTATTTTAAATGTTTAAAAAAATATACTCTTTGGCTTCCTTTTATTTCTCGAGGATTACATAAAGTGTGAACTACACAGGTTCTTATCCCAGCCAGGCCCTGGGCGCTGACCAGATGCTCCCTGCACTGTGTCCGTCCTGTGCCTCCCTGTCCACCATTCTAGCTGGCAGAGGCCCTACTTGGAGAAGGGGGTCATGAAACTATTCTCGATGCACAGGACGATGTAGGCGTTGTGGCAGCTCGCAGCTCTCTGTTCCAGCAGCCTGCCTGACAGCAGGGAGGAGGCCTGACCTGTGGCCTCACTGGCCTCAGTCCGCCATGTCTCACAGTAATTCTCCATCAGCCTGCGCCCGCTGGGGTCTGAGCCGTGCCATATACTCTTCTGAGGCCTGCAAGGCATAGAGGCTGTCAGCAACCTGCAGGCCTGTCCTTCCAGGTCTGCCCTCTGGGGCAAAGAAGATGGGAGGCTAGCCGCTATATTTGGGGGCAGTGGGGCGACGGGACAGTGAAGGGCCCCTTAAGGACTTAGGTCACCTCCCAGATGTGTACTCTTGCAGAGGAAGAGGGTGTTGGGGTGTAGCCTGAGCCAGGGGACCTCTGGGCTAGCGTTTAACCCACCGACAAGACCTGGCTTCTGAAACTCTTGTTTGAGAAATGCTAGCAGTGAACCCTGCTGCCAGAGTTTAGCCACTCAGCTCTGCCCACAGCTCACGTAGGGGCCAGGAGGGCCCTCGTGAGTGGGGAAAGCAGATGGTCAGGACTCAACTGCCGCCTGGGGACTTTTGTCTAGCTCCCCGAGCCACCCTTCAGAGAGCACAGTCATTGGAACAGGTGTCTGAGCTGCCAGGTGCAGAGACCCTGGGTAGGACGCCATTCTGAAGATAGCCCAGCCGTTTGTCAGCATTTCCAGGGCATTCTGTGACCAAGGGCTAAGGGCACTGGAGCTGTCTTGCAGAATCCATCCTTTTCCATGACACTTACATGGTGAGCAGTAGAGTTAATTTAAGTAGTCACAGTTGATGAACAAACATACCCACCATGGCTTTGAGGGCACTGACGGGCTAGTGTTTGAACATACTGTGGCCAGACATTCTCATGGTCTTCTAAGGGTCTGTGACTTTTTTTTTTTTTAAGGTTTATTTATTTATTTTACGTGCATTGGTGTTTTGACTGCATGGATGTCTGTGTGAGGGTATAGGATCCCTTAGAACTGGAGTTACAGACAGTTATAAGCTGCCCTATGGGTGCTGGGAATTGAACACAGGTCCTCTGGAAGAATAGCTAGTGCTCTAACCCACTGAGCCATCTCTCCAGCCCTGTGATTTTTCTGTATAGACTGTGTCAGTCTAGAGATAGAGGTCTTGACACCCTCCATCTAACACTAGGAGACCTACCAGGCTGGGTGTCTCAGGACATCTCTGCCATCGAAAGAAAAGATGCGGGCCCCAGGCTGCAGTTGCCCCTGGGAGCCAGAAAACAGGGTGTCCCAGCTGGCAGATAGCACCTCATCCTACAGGAGACAAGCAGACTTCAGTCACTGTCACATCAGGCCAGAGGAATGAGTATTAGGGCAATCACAAGAGACCAAGGAACACATTGAGGCAGAGGAAGCCCTTCTCCAAAGGTACACCCCATCACGGTAGGTGAGACCCATAGGTGTCCTCCTGAGCCTGAGACACTGGGATCTCTCAGTCCACACCACTGGTTCTGGGAAATACTGCTATAAGAACATCAAGAATCCCAGCTCTTTTTATCATAAAGGCCCAGGAATAAAGCCACACGATAGGTCCTGTGGCAAAGGGCCAGGCTAGGTGGCACACAGAAATGGTTCCAGGCCACTTTGAGTTATGTGGTCAGTAACATAGGAACCACTAGAAACATCCATGGGACAAGAACCAGGGCCCTGGGAGGTGCGGGGTCAGGGGAGCTTTGTGGGGACTGTTGGGGGCATTTTGAGATCCCGCTATGACTTCACACCTAAGGATAAGGCATGGGTCCACCTGGGGACATGCTAAGGGCTTCTCAGAACAGACTCCACCCACCTTCAGGTTGACGATAGGCACAGTCCCCCGGTCAGCACGGCGCACAATACTGTAGAGGTCCTGCAGCCTAGAGGACAAGAAGGCACGGAAGGTGCCAGCCAGCCCCACGGCTCGGGCCTGCTGGAAGCACTGGAAGTCGGCCCCTCGGATGCCACGCATGCCACCTGACAGCGGGCTGTTGAGTGCTACCAGGTGGAGCTGCAGGAAAGGTCACATAGGATTATATCATAAGCAACGTCACATGTAATCTAGCCTCTAGGCTGCACAGGGCACACAGGCAGACCCCACTGAGTGTGCAAGACAGCAGTAACCTCAGCGAAAGCCTTCAAGCAGCCCTAGCTGGCCCCTTTCAGTCCAGGATATCAAAGGGCGTCTGAGGCACTGTGGTTCCAGCAGCTCCCTAAGAGAGCTGTTAATAGCTATGAGCAGTGACAGGGACCAGTTCAGTCTGCTGGGACTGGAGCAGCTGCCCATCCCTGGTTGTCCCAGCATCCTCTAGGGCAGAGGCACAGCACACATATGAACCAGTGTTTTCTCCTTCTGCCATATTAAGGACTAGCAGGGACTGGCTCGTAGGTGTTTGATCTCATGGACAGTCATTAAGGCACCAGAGGGAAGGCAAGTCCCTGGCCTAAGGGGATGCGTAGCCCACATTAGTCAGAAGCTCACCCATAGATCTCTGTCCACAGTATTTCCTCCGGCAGCTCTGGGGGGGATTTGCTCCATCCTGCCAGGACTAGGGCTGGATGAACACATGCCCCTCAACCCTGGACACTCACCACTGGCTGGAAGTCCTGGTGCGTGTGAGCAGGTGAGCTTGTGGGGCGGGCTGGCGGCTGGTGCACGTAGGCACTGTGGTGGTGTGGAACTCCAGGGTAAGGCTGTGGATCCGGCAGACGTGGTGGGTTGACTAGGATGTCATCTGCACGCCAGGGCCGAGCTGTGGAATAGGAGTGCTCCCGCCGGGTATACGGGCTGCCCTCGTGAAGCTGCACCAGTGGGGGCAGAGCTGCTACCTCATTGCCCTGAGAAGGAAGTGCACAGTGCCTGGAGTAGCTCCTCATCTGATATGATCCCTTCCCGTGTCTGTCTTGTGCTCTTGGGTAGGACAGGGCTGGGCCCAAGGTGATGGGAAGGGAGCTGGACCCTGAGCCAGCCCGAGATACTTGAGTGGGTAGCACTGCCCTCTGTGCAGGTCCCCAGTCCTCCCTGTGCTTGGAAGACAGTCGTCACTCATCACAGCCTCCTTGGGGTTCCTGGCTACCGTTCAGGCTAAGACCCTACACTGTATTAGTCAATCGTCACATGTTTGAACTCACTGAGAGGCTGGCTCTGGAAGTGAAGTTGCGCCCCCTCCCCCATTTCACACCCAAGCATCTTGATCTCAAAGTACCCTCCAAGGTCCCTCAACTGGAGATGGCCCCACCAACTGTGTGGCATGGAGGGAAGAGAAACAGCCCAAGAGTAAAACACGGTGCCTTTGAAGGCTAGAAAGTGAGCCATTTCCAACCAAGGTGACCATTGTTTGTCCCACAGCATAAACATGCCTGCCGGTCAGCTGTGGGAAGCTCAGCCATGGGGAGAATACTCAGTCAGGAACTCCAGCGGATGCCCCAACTTCCCCAGTCAATTTCTGCTGGCTGCTGTGAATGTCCAGCCTGGTGACGTCACCTCCCCAGAACTCTCTTGGGAACTCCAGCTGGCTGCCTTAAAGCACACCCCCCCATCATCAATTTCTGCCAAATGTTTTGAGTACCCAGTTTGAAAATGCTTTATTTATCTGTCTATACTCTATTATTTATTCTTTTACTTCTGTTTGTTGTATACTTTATAAATCCATTCATTCCAAGCTGAAAACTAACGCTATTGTAGATCGTCCTGTGCACTGCACAGAACGATCACAAATGCCCAGCCACATTCATTTGGCTCCTGGACTTCAAGGAACCATGTGACCTTCCCGAGCTCTGCTACCCACGCTAACTTCTAACAGCCACACAGAGAGAAAAGGTTCCTCACCGTCCCATGTGGGAGAGCTGTCCGGGCCTCCAGCTGAAAGGCAACAGTGGGGGTTACTACAGCAGGCTTCAGGCCAGAGCCTCTCATCTGTCACCCTCTTCCCACGGCCCCTCCCTCTGGAAGAGGCCTGGAGAGACAGGGATGTGACTGCACCTCACTGGTTGGCACTAAGTGAACATTGGGCACTGGTTAGACCTACTGCTGACGCCAAAGACTCTCCCAGGCCAGACAGAAGGACTGGTGGTCAGGAAGGCACTGAAGGACAGGCCTGCCAGGCCCATAGATGCAGAACCCAAAAGCTGGTACCCAGCAGCCATCATGCATTTTGAGGCATCCCACCAGTACTAAGGACGTTCATCACAGTGGTGTTTATTATTGTATGTGTCTACGCATAATATACATGTGCGCATGCCACATGTGCGTGTGGAGGTCGGATGACAGCTCTGCAGAACTGGTTCTCTCCTTTCACCTTTTGTGGGTTCTGAAATCAAGCTCAGGTTGACAGGTCTGTGTGGCATGTGTCTATGCCCACTGAGCCATCTGGCCGGCCCCGCATTGGTGTTTATGTAACACAGTGCTGGGATCCAGGGCATATGTAGCCTCCATGCATCTTGAGGCCACCATGCCAAGACGAGTCCTGATGCTCTGTCGCATTGCATGCCCTGTAGAGGACAGCTAAGGACCTTGGCCGTGAGCCACCTGGGCTCTAGAGTTAGGACCCTACCTCATGTTACACTGCTGTGGGTGGAATGTGAACTCTAATCCCCCTCTGCCCCCAACCTAACCCAGGGTTATGTTGAACATTTGGTCCCCAATTGGCAGTGCTGTCTGGGAGGACTGTGGAACCTTTAGGAGGTAGAGACTCACTGGAGGAAGTAGGTCATAGCCCCACTTCCTATCTGCTTGCTGCCTGACGACAGAAGCCATATGACCAGTTGTCTGACACATCCCTGCCACTGCACCTTCGTCACTCCCAAGGACTGTACCTCAAACCATGAGCCAAAGTGACCTGTCCTCCCTTAAGGTACTTCTTGCTGGGAATTTGTTCACAGCAATGATAAAAGTAACTAATAAACATTCATTTACTGCTAACCCCAAAAGTGCAGAGGAACCTGCTTACTATTCTTTAAAGTTAAGAAAACCTTCATCCTTCTTGTGGCTGTTGGGGGGATGGTCCCTGAGAACTCACCAGCACCTTCCGGAAGCCATTTCTAACACGTACGTAGAGCTCTTCCCTCTCAGCCACGAAGATGAGCCAACCCTCCGGCACCTCGCGTACCTTGTCCAGCATGGTCTGGTATGTGGCCCAGATCCTCACCTGCTGGAACCCCAACCCAAGCCCAATGTCGGACCTACTATCCTGAGCACCCAGAGCTCCCAGGATTTGGGAGACCAGAGGGTGACTCTCGGTAGGCACCCATCTTTGTCAGGCTATCCCCAAGAAGGAGCAGAGGTTGTAGAAGTGGGTACCTTGGGAACCCCATGATCCCAGACACTGGTCTCTGCACCCAGTTGACTGATGGGGAGGACTTCCTGAAATGCCACCCACCTCTCCAGTCCTTATCCAGATCCTCAGACCTTGGCCAACTGAACACTTACCCCAGCGGAGGCACCCATGGCTCCTGGGGGACCCGGAGGGCCAGGAGGGCCTGGAGGACCAGGAACACTGACAGCTACGAGAGAGATAAAGCTGGGAACTCCTGGCCCCATGGGTAGCCCTCAGTGACCCAGGCCCACTTCCCATCTCCTACTTACTCTGCCTATGAGGACCAGGGAACGAGGGAGGTCCTGGCGGTCCTGGCGGTCCTGGGGGTCCCTGACGCCCCTCATAGCCAATACCAGGAGGTCCCTGAGGGCCAGGAGGGCCAGGTGGGCCCCGAATGCTCTCTCCCTTTGGACCCTAGGAACAACAAGAAAACCTTCCACTGTATCCCTCATGCACCAGGTTGGGACTGTATCTGCTCATAGCCCCGGAGTTGGGACCTTTAAGACCAGTATAGCCCTACCTACTACAGGGCTCCTTTTGCTGGGGATGTGATCCCAGGACAAAGAACCATCCCCAAGGCCTCCCAGTGTTCCTGTTCCCTTCAGCCCTCATGACAACTGCGAAGTTACACCCTTGGAGTCTGCTCAATGCTGCTCAAAGCCAGGGACAGTAGCAGATGGGTAGCAGCAGGAAGAGTGGCCACGAGGAACAAATGAGGCCACCAGGATCCATATGCCCACCCAGCTTTGTGCCCAGAGGAGCCAATAGATGTGGGGTCTTAGACAGCTGAGTTTGCAGGGTTTGGTCTGAGTCTTTCAGGGCACATAGCCAGGCACGATGTGTGGATGCCTGCAGGAGGCCTGGGGTTCAGGCTTACCGGAATCCCAGGGTAGCCAGGCGGGCCAGGTGGTCCAGGCACACTTGAACTGAAGAATCCACCACCAGCAGCCCCAGGTTCTCCCCGCTCTCCTTTCTGTCCAGTGTCCCCTCGGTCTCCCTTGTCACCCTACAGGTGGAAATGGTTATCTGAGCCAGGTGGGGATGACAGGCTGGCACTGGCCCCATGAGTCATGGCACCTCCTTGGTCCCCTTTCCAGATCCAGCTCGGCTCCCACCTCCTGCTGTCTCGACCCCACCCCCACCAGCCTGGGACAATGAGTGTCCAGAGTACAGGACGCTACTGTAAGGCCAGTGTTCCTCATGGAGCCAGAGGAAAAGAAAGTGGCTTGGTTGAATGTCAGTACACTCTTGTCACCAGGGACAGAGGCACCTGCCTGGACACCAGCCACCCCATCAACTTGACCAGCAATCTCACCCACCTTCATTTCCGCTCCCAGGTGGAAGAAGTCGATGGGGAACTGCCCTGCAGGGTAGAAAGGGAGGTTGGAAGCGAACCGAGATGACAGTATCGACTCTACGGTTTGTACTCCCCTCCCCTCCCCCACCCGCCCTCATGGGTTTGTGTAAGGATCACACATCTTCTTAAATTACTCCTGGTTAATGGATTTTTTTTTGTCATGGTGTCATGGTGTTTCTGCAGAATTGCACCTGTAAATGTTTATGACCGGCCATTGGCTTTTCTAATGGCTGTCTGTCCGGTGGCCTGGAGAGATGCAGTCATTCCTTCTGTCACCCCACAGATCCTCAGGGCTGTGTACACTGGAGACTTGGTATCTGTGTAAACTGGCTTCTTCTTTCCCTAGGCCCCTTGCTTCAAGAAGCCTGGTCCTGTTCCTGCAGGCATAGAGTCAGCAAGGCCCAGGGTCCCTCCTCTAAGCATTCCCTGTTGTCTCTGGGAGTTTGCAGGGGTGGGGAGATGTTTCGGCATCTTCAAAGAATTAACTTCATCTCTGGATTTTTTCTTTACTCTTCTTTGATCTCTGTTATTTTATACATAAATAAAACATGACTTTATTTATTTCTGTCTCTAAAATGCCTTCCTGTTTTCATCAAATGTGACGTTCGCTTCCCAGGACCTCAGCCTGGAGGCACAGTAACATTCCAATTAAGCCTGTATTTTGTGAAGAGGGGTTAACCCCTTTTTTCTCAGGGGTAGCAACCTTGGGTCAGGTTTTCCTTTTTCTGTCCCCCTGCAAGGCTGATGTCCTTGTGGAGTCTCTATCTTGGAGGCCCATTGCTGCTACACGGGATGGTCAAGAGCAGTGATTCCATGCCATCTTACAGGTGTGTCTCCTGGGACTGGAGGTGACGGTGGCCACTAGGAAGACTCAAGCCTCAGCCCCTGTCCTAGGACCTCTGTAGAACTGGGCCATAGTCTATGGGATTCCATGACCTACGAGCAAGGGGTCCCACTGACCCAGCCTGTGGGAGAGTTAGAGGACCCAGCTATTCATCTGAGAGAGGCTTTGCCAGAATCACCACTCTAGGCTGCCTCGGGGTCTTTGGCTTCTCCTTTGACGTGCAAGCTGCTGCTGGGGCAGTCCTCCAATGCAGGTGCTCCCTCACCATGGGCTTGTACTAGGTTCACGAGACTACCCTCCTCTAAACCTGCAGAGCACGCTTCTGCCTGCAGGGACAAGTCCCTGTGACTGGCATATGGCCAGAGGTGATGTAGTCAAGCATTGGTGGCTGCTGAGCCCTTCCAACTCCAGGTTAATTTTTTCCAATGACGGCATGGCTTTCTTCCTTGTCTTCCCTATCCCGAGGTTCTGTGATTGTAGGCACACGGGTTCAGTTACCGGATTATTCTGGCAGATGGACTTGGATCAAGATGAGAGCTTCTTAAATTCCAGCCTTATTTCCTAAGATCCACTCGGTCACACATGCACACTTGGCCGACCATTGCTCGCTCCCTTCTCCAGCCACAATTCCCTCTATCCTGATCCTCTCTAGCTTGTCCTTGTCCTAAGGGAGAGGTCTCTTTGTGTCTCTCTGGGGAGCCAGTCCACTCCCATCTGATTGCCGACAGAAGCGCCCATGTTCAGCTGCTGAAAACCTGGGGGTTCAGATCTATTTTGCCCACTGTTTTCTACGTGCCTCTGCTCTGGGCTCCTTCTCCCTCTTTGTCTGGATCTGCACCAAGCTTTGCTCTGTGTTTTTGTATCATTTATCCCTGCATCGGGCACATTCTTCTGTTTTTGGCTTTCTTTCAAGTTCATCTGTACCCTTGACCTCAGCTAAACATCAGAGAGACTGCTCCAGAGAGTCCGGGCCTGTGGCCATGCAGCCTGTCCTCTGCCTGCTGTGTTGGTCAGCTGTTGCCTGCCTCCTCCTTTCTGGGCACCGCTTCTGTCTCTCCCAGGAGCCTTGCGCTGCACATCAGGCTGCTTGCCGCTTAGGCCACCCTCTTGGTGCAGAGTCATACTCCTGGGCTGTGGAATTCTGCGGCATGACCCTCCCTCTGATGTTCTGAAACACGCAGGGTCTTCCGGCTTTCCTCACCTCTGCCGGTCTTCTTTTGTGTCTTTTGACTGTGAGAAACACTGCAAATGTTTTCTCAGTCTCAAAACTCTGGGCCATTTGCCCTCAACTGCTGTCTCTCTTTGGTTCTCCAGTGACAAGCACGCTAGACCCTTGCTGTGTCCTCCCTCTGTGAACTTCATCTCTCAATCTGTGCTTCCATCGGCAAGGTGCTGAGATGGCCACTCCCAGCTGACCCTTGGTGTCCGCGGGGGAAATCATCTCCCCAGTTCTCTGAACTCTTGTGTCCCAGGATTTACCCAGAGAGCCCTCTGCTCTCTGATTCTCTTTCCTTTTAGCTTTGGGGCATGGTACTCTAAGTCTTGGTCCCAGCCTGGTACCCACTTCCCAGGAGGCCTGGGATCTGGTCTCTCCATTCTGGTTCAGTCTTGGTTCCAGTGCCTGTGTCTTCTTTACCACACCACACACTCTGAGTGATGCTGATGGGGAGAATCGGGCTGGGATTGAGCAGGGATCCCACTCGCCCATGAGTGCTAATGCTTTTGTGTGTCAAGGGAGTGGCCTCAGCTCTCTTCCCGGCTGGTCCTCCCTCCATCTCACAGGAAGCGTCTCAACTTTTATCCTGCTTTCCCTGATGGTTTTGGTGGAAACTGGTCCCTAGATCCAGGTCTTTTCAGGACTTAGTGAACTTAGAGAAAGCATGTGCTTTGCCCCTCCAGGGCGTTGGGCAGCAACCATGGTGTAACGGGTATCCAGCACCCCCAGGTTCTAGTGCCCCACCCTGGGGCTGGCTGTACCCCACAACCCTCAGCCTAGACCATGCAAGTATGCTCACCTGGAGGCCCAGGTGGGCCCACCTCTCCTTTATCACCCTTTGGTCCTGAAGGCCCCTGCACACCTAGGGGAAGAGACCCCAACCAAATCTATCAGGGAAAGTCCGGTCAAGGCCCCTCCCACTAATGTCCCCAGTCCTGGCTATTGTGTACATAAGCTGAGGCTAGACCAGAAAGGCTGTGGAAGGATGTGGGGGTAGGGGACATAGTTAGAATCAGAACTCATGAAGAGCAAATGTGTGTGCTGGGGAGAGCCATTGCTCTATGTCCCTACTGACAGATGGCTGGGGCTGTCCCTGCACTTCTCTGAGAAATCTTGGATGGTCATGCCCGGCACCCGAGCCTCTAGTTAGACTCCCTGGGCAGCTTATGCCAGGTGTGTGATAGATATTAGGAGTAGGGTAGGCTTGAGGACGTGACCCAGGAACTGGACACCCAGAGTGAGCAGAGTCAAGTCCCACAGCTCCATTTTTTCCTAATCAGTTTGAGGTTACTATCCCGTTGCCATCTTCCTACCGGAGCCCCAGACTTCCTGCATGCACTGTGATCCCCAGTGCCCTCACCTTGCTGTCCTGGTAGACCAGGTCGGCCAGACTCCACAAATGCCTACAAAGAACAAGCGGGGAGGGAGTGGGGGCAGGGAAGGGGTGCTGAAGGACAGTGCTCTAGAAAGCAAGACTACCAGGGTCCCCAAGGCAAGAAATCCCAGGGCCCCTCTCCAGAACCAAACAAGAACCCTTTCCACAGGTGCTCTGAACGGGGGCAGGGTCTATGTCCAGAGTCCTTGTCACAGTGACCTGCCCTCATAGGTCACCTCTGCCCCTTGTTAAGGCTGGGTTTGAGGCTGTCTCCAAGCCGCAGTTACTCCTGTGGGGACTCACTGCTTGTCCACTGCCCCCAGGTGCAGCCTACCCGACAGACCCATTCCAGAGATACCCAGAGAGGATTCCAGAGGCAGCAATGGGAGAGAAGCTTCTGGAGAATGAAGCTCTGGCCACTTACATTGCTGTCATAGATGGGCATTCCCGGAGGACCTGGGGGGCCTGGAGGCCCAGGGGGGCCAGGCAATCCCTGTGGAGGGACAGAAGGTTCTGGTTAGTCAAGGTCACAGCTAACCATCAGTGTAGACTAGGGTAGCAGACATGGGCTCAAATTCTTCTGAGAAGCGGCCAGATCAGAAAGCTGAATGCGTTTGATGATGTAAAAATCAAGACTGCATTGCTGACTTGTCCATGTGCCTGCCAGCTGGGCCTGCTTCTCCTGAGATCCCTCAGGAGCAGCTAAGTCCCTCAAGAAGGCTTTGACTTGAATGAAAGGGACAGCCTGGCCCATGCTCTGAGGGTTATATACTACTTCTGCAAAAGGCCCCTCGAGGACCCGTGTAAGGAATTGGCATGACCAAGCACCTTGCATGGCCCACCTTCCCCAGGACAGCTCCACGGGGGAGGGGGAGGGCTGTGAGCATCTGTGTACTTGCTGATACCTCAGACTAAGGGATACACTCCCTGCAGGGAAAACGGTGTTTAACCTGATTTCAAAAATCCTAGCTGAGGATGAGATCCAAGAGCCAATCTTTTCCATTGGGATGGATGAGATTGGTCCATGACTGCCGGTCCTGCAGCTCTGCAAATGCCGCAGCTTGCTCTTGATTTTGCACTGGGTTAGTAGGCATTAGTGCACAGGGGAGGCGGCTGACAAGAAACCAGCAGCAGCCATGATCATCACAAATGTGAACTCTCTGAAGTACTCATATCTGGATTTCCATGCCTATCTCTGCTCTGAACTCTCTGAAGTATTCATATCTGGATTCCCGTTCCTATCTCTGTTCTGGGCAAAGCAGGTGGGAGGCGGGAGTCAGAGCTGGACAGCCATGCTGGGGGGAGCCCCTGAGTCTCTGAGTGGCTGCCTCCAATGGAAAGGCAAGCGATGCTATGAGACAAAATCCCTTAAGTCCCTAAGGCAGCAGATGTTTTAAAAGACACAAACCTGTGTTGGTGGATCCAGAGAAGGTATGCCCTAAGACCCCATGTTTCTCTCTCCTGGGTATAGGAACATGCAGATATGTACATATAGTGGTGAGTGTGCCCACATACACATGTATTTATGCAAGTATAGTCAGGTCAAACATGTCTAGCTACATCATCAGCCATCTCAAACAGCCTGCTAGATGACCTGAGAGGCCCTGGCCTAGCCCTTCTTGTTCCCTGGTGTTCCAAGCCATCCATTTGCCATTGCAGGACACTTACCCTCAAGCTGAACCCAAGGCTGGCATCTCCAGGCTCCCCTTTCTCTCCCTTTAATCCATTTGTTCCGGGACGACCCTGAGCAGAACAGAGTAACAGGGCTTGTTGGGTACTGGACAGCCCGTACATAGCCCCCTCCCTCCCAGGGTCAAGCCTTCACACTTTTGCCCAGTAGCTAGAGGAAGCAGGAAACTGAGTAGAAGGTCCCAGGTCAGAGCCCCCTTTTTGCCCAGGGCCTTCTATGGGGTGCCAGATAAAGTGTACTCTTAGCCCAGATAAGTATTAAGACATTGGCCACGTAGATATGATTGCTGTACCCAAGGGGAGGACAGGAGGGGCCGCTGTCCACTTTCTCCTGAGCCCAGCCCTCTGCAGGCCCCAGGTGCTCTCCACCCACTATGTCCAACTTGTAGGCCACCAAATCCTCACCGGCCGTCCAGGGAAGCCGATTTCACCCTTGTGCCCAGGTCGCCCTTAAGGACCCTACAGAGAGAATGTGGAGGGTGAGTGAGGCCTCCTAGTGAAGAGGGAGGGGCCACCCCAGGAAAGAGCCAGGGTTGCCATCTCTAAGGAACTGCTGGTTGTCATGCCGGCAACCAAACCCCACCCCATGTTTTCAATGTGGCAGTTGATACAAACCCTGGGCCACAAACCCAGTGTAAACAAAAGGGCATTACTCACCGGGGGTCCTCGGAAGCCTGGTTCTCCCTGAATAGAGAATCAGAGGTGCGTCAGGGAGTACCTCTATGGCTAACCCTGCCCACTGCCTTCTGGAGTCCCTGTGCCCATGTGGATGTGCTAGGCTGGCAGCCAACTGCTGGCTATGCCAGGACAGGACAGAAACCAGCACTGGGACCAGGTCTGGTCTGAGACACAGATGGATGCGCCCTGGGTTGGTGAGGGTGGGACCCAGCTTGGACAATGTAGAGCTAAGGTCATCCAGGTCTTCTTCAGCTACAGAGCCTCTGTGAGCATGGGGTTCTCTGGGCCTGAACAATCGTCAGCTCACTCCCGACAACACTGTAGGCCAACGAGGATCCATTCCTCATAGCCACCAAGGCTTCCCAAGGCCCTTCCCCTGGAACCTTCTTGGGAAGACTTGCTGGGGTAGAAGTCTAAAACGGTCCAAGGAGCAAGTCCTGCCAGCCGAGCAAAGGCTTGGGCTCAGGTTGCTGCAAGCTCGGGACCACAGGATGGAGGAGGTCTAGATACCTCAGTTATACAGGGTGGATGGTTGCTTACTCATGGGGTGCCCCCAGCAGGCCTTGGGCTCTTTCATCTCCCATAGACAAAGGCCAGGCGGAAGAGTGAGCACACTGGGCCATGGCCTATATCACTAACCTTCCTATAGGTGAGCTCAGACAACAGCAGCAAGGAGATAATACAAGCCATTGGCAGGTTTGGGGGTCGTGAGAACACACCCAGGATGGTTGCAAGAGGCAAAGGGAGAACAGAGTTAGGCTATGGGGGGCTTGGGAAACCCCCCCAGGAAAGGTTTGAGTATGTGGTGATCCTGCCTCTCTGTCAGGACGCCCCCATTCATGCTGTCTTCACAATGTCAGGGAACCCCAACCCCATTCTCACCTTGGCTCCTTTCTGGGCAGGGCCCAGGGCTCTGCCATCAGGGCCAAAGATAGCACCTGGCTCGCCTTTCTCACCCTGAAATGGCAGAACAGGAAGGACAGGTCAGGGCTCAGCCATAAGGCTTCAGATACCCCCAAGACAGAAACAGAGGAAGGGGGTCCTGGCCTACGTGGGAAGGTTGTGACCAGAGCCTTCTGAGTTAAGGTAATAAAGATGGCATGTCCCAGTACCCCCAGGGCCCAGCCTGCCTCAGGAGCCATCGGAGCAGGTGGTATCCCAGCCCCTTACCTTGGGCCCTGGAAGACCCTGCTCGCCTTTGGAACCCAGGTCACCCTTCGGCCCGGCAGGTCCCTACAATGAAGACCAGAGAGAAATGAGGGTCCCTGACCCAATATCCCTTGGACCCCATGTTCCCCCATATTCTGTCCCTGTGGTTGCTCACTGTTCACAAGGCAGCCCCTTCAGTGTCCTCAACAATTATAGATGGCGAGGGCACCATGCGATACCCTCAGCCCCCATTATCTTCCTGATAGCATCATGTCCTCAAGGACAATGACCCAAGCTTACACTACCATCCTGTGTGTACCAAGCAGAGCCCATGCCCACCCCCTAGTGCAGAACATTGCTGGGCGAGCATGCAGCTCCAAAGCAAAGCCACTTACAGGAAAGCCTGCTTACCCTGGCTTGCCCTGTGGAAAGAAGGGCACCGTGAGTTTTAGGGACACACTGCTCTCACGAGTGTTCTAACCCAGCTCCCCGGGACCCTCCGTGGAAACAAGATGGCACTTACCTCAGGTCCTGGCGTGCTCACCACTGCTCTCTGTCCCCACGCCATTGGGAAAGAAGAAGTAGAGGAAAAGAAAGCTGCATTTGAGTTTAAAGTCACCTGTATCACATAAGCCACGGGCATACAAAAGCATGTCCAAAGTGGAATTTAGGAAAATCCTGTGCTTTCCGCAGTATGCCTGGGTTCTCTCTGCAGGTGCCCAGGTGACAAGTGACCGAAAGACCCTCCTCCCAGCATGGAGGGGCCAGGGCTGGCATCACTCTCCAGTCCTGTTCCACACTTAGCCTGGGGCATACACTCCGGTCCACCATGTGCAAGCAGCCCCACCTGCTGGGGGCTTTTATAATGCTTTACTCTCACACCAGTTCCCCCTGGATGAAGAGGGCCAGCTGTTGCTTCTGGCTTTCCCCTGGTCCCAGAGCCCTGTGACCGTTCAGTGCCTTTCTCCCAGGACTGTATTGTCCCCATCTCAGAACTGAGGGTACTAGGGCTGCAGAACGTGAAGTAACCAGCCAGGGTCACTGTTGACAACTGTAGCTGCGATCTGAGCCCAGTTGTCACCCCAACCAAGCTCTAGCTCTGTCTAGGGCGGCCTGTTCCCTGCGGTCTCAGCTCCCATGGGCCCTGCATCTAACAACCAGAGACTTAGGCTTCTTGCTGCAGAGAACTGAGCACGGGCAGCAGCTTGACCACCGGGTTCTGCATTGGGGCTAGGAGGGACCCATTGACTTTGAGGCTAGGCCACTTGAATATGTTGCTGTAGGCACCACAAAAGGGCAGTGGTAGCCTTTACAACCGAGAAGGTCAAGAAGCTTTGGCAAGGAGAGAGCTTCTAGCCAGCACGGCCTTCTCTTTGAGAAGCCAGCGCTCCTCACGCCATTCTGATGCGGTTAGGTCAACTATGGGCAGTCCCTAGACTGAGGGATGAGCCCTGCCGCATTCCACGGTGTACTTACATCCTCATTTGACACATAGACCACAGGCCCTGGAGGTCCTGGGGGGCCAGGGAGGCCTGGAAGCCCCACTCCGTCTTTTCCTGGGTTTCCCTGGAAGAGAACCGTAGAGAAGTAAACATTCTAATTCCTCCGGCCAGGACCCCAGAGCCTACCTATAGCCCAGGTACTAGGTCTGCAGACAGTAGCTGAGAGCTACCCCTGCTGACTTAAGGGTCTCTCCTCAACTCTCTGAGGTCTCATGGGTGGCCAGGTAGCTTGGGCATGAGGCTGGGGCATGATGGGATTCCTCACCCTGAGGCCTAGGTGATTCAACTTTGCTCACTGCGCACCTAAGGCTACAGACACTCACCTTTTCTCCCTGGGTCCCTTTCTCTCCTTTTGGTCCCTGCAGAGACAGAGAAAATGGGTCATCGTAGACAGAACCAGAATCCCTTCAGGGACCAGCCTACCTGGGCCTGGCTTCCAATGCAGACGGGGGAATCTGTGTTGCCTTGACCTTGGAGAATAGAGATGGGCACCCAAACCCTGTCCAGCCTTGCAGTTGGCTCCAGGGGCCACAGTGTAGCAGGTAGGGGACACAGATGTCTAGGACACCCCAAGGGCCACTTGAGATGCCAGTTCTCTTCCTGGGGGCTTCTTTTATGCCTTTCGCCTCTCACTCACCGGGGGCCCAGCTGCACCCTCTCTTCCTGGGAGGCCAGGGATGCCCTGGATTCCATCTGCTCCAACTTCTCCCTGGGATAGACAAATAGAAGGGTCAGAGTCAGCCCTGCAGCCGGCAGCAGAGACTCTCAGAGAGGAGGTCACAGCAACCATGGGTGTGACCGTAGCCTAGGTTTCTGCAGGCTTGGCCCAGCCCCTGGATATACCTCCCTCCATGGATGTAGCATCTCATCCATGTGGGATGAGGAAGATGAAGACAGGGAGGATGGTGGCAGGGAAGGGCATGTAGGGAGGGGAGGGGAGGAAGCTCATTTCCCACAACTGGTGCGGGTGTATGGGGTTGTGCCCTAAGGCGGAGGCTTGACCTAGGTAGTTTTCTCTGAATCAGGCACATTAAATTATAAAGAAACAAAAGTATAAGGAACCATGAGGGCAAGACGGGGTGGGGCGGGGGGAATGAGGCCAGGACTGTGCAGGCATCTCACTCCATGCCTGGTATTCTCAGGCTGCCTCTGAGATGTGCTCGACACATGAGGTTTGTGGGGCATGCCTGCTGGTCCTTACAGGCCCCTCTCCATCCCCAGTGGACAATATACCCCACCCTGAGGGAAGTACCTACCTTGGTTCCAGGTGGCCCTGCCACTCCAGGATCCCCCTAAGTGGACAAAAAGTTCTATGATCTTGGGGTGTCAGCTGGCTCACCCCCAAACCAAGCTACATACTCCTTTGTTAATCACCCAGGATATCCCAGCCCCAGCACTTGGGCCCTTCTAGAACCCTAGGTGACCCAGGGGTCCACACTGGTGGAAGGAACAAAATATATCCTAGCATCATGGGGACTGGATAGTTCTGGATATTGTAGAAGCTGGTGGCAAGTACCACCATCTTCACTATAAGAAATAAGTCCTCTAGCTGGGCAGTGGTGGCACATGCCTTTAAAACCAGTACTTGGGGAGGCAGAGGCAGGAGGATCTCTGGGAGTTCGAGGCCAGCGTGGTCTACAAGAGCTAGTTCCAGGACAGCCAAGGCTACAGAGAAACCTTGTCTCAAAAAAAAACAAAACAAAACACAACAATAAAAAAAAAAAAAAAAAAAAAAAAAAAAAGAAACAAGTCCTCTAAAGAGATTCCTTAAAGAAAAAAAAAATGTCTGCCTTTAATCACAGCACTTAGAAAGGAGAGGCAGGTAGATCTCTGAGTTCGAGGCCAGCCTAATCTACATAATCCAGAATAGCCAGTTCTACATAGAGAAACCCTGACTCAGAAAAAAAAAAATCCAATTTGGACCCATCTAAAAATCCATCCCTTTGAAATGTTCATTCAGTGTTTTGTAAGTCAAGAAAAGCATTCTAGAAGTAGGGCAACAGCAGAGGCCAGCTAGGCAGTAAGGACACCCTGGTGGGGACTATTCTGCCTCTCTCCACCCTTGCCCCCACCCTGGGGAGCCTGACTCGAGCGCAAGGGAAGGAGGGGCCAAGGATGGGGCCTAGTCTGTGGCTGGTGTCCCTAAGGATGACATGGAAAGCGGATAACAAAACTCTCAGATCCTCCAGGGGAAGAGGACACCACCCTATGGGTCTCTAAAGCTGAGAACCACGGAGAGGTTCTGGTCTCCTCAAAATTTTAGCATGGTTCAGATGTGTGCAGGCAGGAATCTCATTTCCTGGGCTTGGAAAGATAGGGCATGACCCCGCTAATGCTCAGTGCACGGGAAGGGGCATGTGGCTATTTTTCCATGAAGCCACCTGCTGTGTTTTGCAAACTTTCATGCTGAGCTCACAATGTATTAACTTGCTGGGCAGATCTCCAAGAAAGGCCTCCCTCACTCACCTTGAGTCCTGGCAACCCTGGAGGTCCCTGCCAGAGTAAAGGAAACAAGTGTTAGTGAGCGACCCGGATCTGCTTTACCCCACATTCATTAGCCCTTTCCAAACCTCATGACCCCAAGGACAACAAAAACTGAGGAACGAGGCTGGCGTGACAGGATTTCTAAGCAGAATCTTCTACTGTAAGAGCTATAATGGGGGGCAACTGAACTTTAACTGAGTACCCGGTTGAAAGCTACATGGGAGTTCTTTCTGTTGTCCTTAGAACCTGTCTACGTTTGAAATTGTTTTAAAATAAAACTATATACTGAAAAAGCTACAAAGGATAACAGCAATGATAACAATACTTAACTACTGTCACGGTAGCATCTGCCAGTGGTGGCCCCAGAGACTAGAGGTCAGCCTGGTGTCCACCAGGACATACTGCTGTTCCTCAGGGAAAAGCAGTATCCTAGGCAGGGCTGTAGAGTTTGTGAGTGCCTGCACACAAGGGCCCTGATGTACCTGCCATTTGGGGACTTTGGGACTTCAGCTTCTTTGCTGACCTAATCCAAACTACACACAGGTCAACAGAAAAATGTGGGGTGACTCCCCCAAATGCCCCACTAACTCCAGTCTACTCTGGCCAAATATCTGTCACTTCTTCAAATTACAGCCATGGAAGAAATCAGAGAGGGAAAGGCCTGCCGACCCCCCACCCCTAGGAACAGTTTGTGAACAGATCTTTCTGGGGTGGAGGGTACTATGGCTCACATCCCCAGGCTTCTGGTGGCTCCTTGCCCTACATAAGGCTGTCCCAAAGACACCACTGGCCTGGGACCCTCCTCCTACCCCAGCCCATGGGCAGTACCTGCAGCCCGTCGGAGCTTCGGGCTGTTGGCCAGAAGGGCATCCCAGAGCTTTCCATATCATCCTGGAGGGAGCACAAGAGGAACGCTCAGTGCCTGAGCCTTATTAAGAGCCTTTCCTGAAGCCAGGAAAAGGGAGATGGGGGAAAGGGAAGTGGATGCGTGTGTGTGTGTGTGTGTGTGTGTGTGTGTGTGTGTGTTATTCAAACCCTGATGGGTACGCATCCTACTCAGTCACAGGGCTTTGGCCTGCACGTGTGCAAGAGAAATTGTACTTGGGTTCATAGGCAAGTTTTCAGCGTGGAAGGGTTGGGGACAGCACCCACAGACATCTGAGCCTAAACACATGTGCTTTGAGTGCAGCGAGGCCAATCCAGAACTGATCTAACCCATTCAGGTACTTGGGATCAGACATGGGAGCCCAAAGATGGGAACAGGAGAAACCCGCGTGTGACAAGAGCTGTGCCCTGCTTAGGGGGTTCTGCTCAAGCTGTGAGCTGTCTGGAGGAAAGGCAGCTGTATGGCCCAGGCTTTCTGGGTGCCCCCCAGTGACTCACGAATCCAGCAGCAAATCCTGGCCCTGGTGGCCCCGGGGGGCCTGGAGGTCCTGGTGGTCCAGTTGGCCCAGGGGGTCCAGCCATGCCAGTCTTTCCAGGCACACCGACAGGCCCAAGATCTCCTTTGCTCCCCTGCACAGACAGAAGGACAAGGTCACCGTGGCTCTGGGCCTCAGCAAAGCTACAGGCAACACAATGAACTTCCTTGTAATGCTTTTCAAAAACCTGAAAACCCAGAGAAAAATCACCTGCCACAAAAGCCATACAGGCAACTCACTGACTTAAAACAACAGGGTGAAGTGAGATTCACAGGCACACAAGCCTGACGTCATGGCTTTGGCCACAGCTCAAGAATCACAAAGCAGGCTGTCCACCATGGCCTGTAACCTTGGGTCCCAGCTCTTTGACAGTTGAGAACAGGGATAGCAAGAAGCAGATAAAGCAGGTAAGGAGGAGGGACAGGCCACTGGCAGCCAAGTCACCTCTATGAAGTGGAAACTGAGACCACCACCATTCTCTCCTGGGCTGCTGAGAGGCACGTGTGACTGTATGAGAGATGTCCTGAACCCAGCTAGAACACAGGAAGCCTCGCTTGGTGTGAACCTTCTTATAAAGGGTCTACCTGAGTTCAAAGACAGCCTGGGCTACACAAGATGCCACCTTTGGGTACCTTCGGAAATAATGAGGATGCAGGCGTCTATGTGGGTGTGAGATCTCCAGCTATGGATGTAGCTACTCTATTTCAGGTGGGTACCAGGTACAGCGGTTCACTCTTTAACCTTCCTCTTTAACCTCAGTAAAACATTTATTTATCCTTGAAGACTCTCCTTGTGTGTGCACGCAGATATAAGGGCGTGCGCGTGTACAGACGGGAGCACGTGAGTGCAGATACCAGCGTCTTGTGCAGAGACATTTGCATGCATGCAGCAGAGAAACAAGCGTGCGTGCAGATTTACATACTCAGCCGACGCCAGCCCATCTCTTATTTCTTTCTGACATGTTCATCTATCCTCTTATGCCCCTGTTGCTCCCCCCCCCCCCCCCCCCCCCCCCCCCCCCCCCCCCCCCCCCCCCCCCCCCCCCCCCCCCCCCCCCCCCCCCCCCCCCGCCCAATGGATTCTTCTATCAGCCCCGGCCTTTGAACACCGGCCAGGAAGCCTCTCAGAACACAGGAGAGCCAGCATGGCATTCCCTGTGCAACAATGGGTGAGGATCCTGGGGGTGCCACTGAGGACCTCGATGAACTGGGCAGCTAAGATCCTGAGGTACCTGGTTGAGGCACCCCAGGAATTCCCAGGGAGCCTTCCCTTGTACCTGCCTACTGGGAGCTCATTTCTAAACCCAGCACCTCTGGTTCCATTGCATTTGCAGAACAGAACAGAGTGGACATGCACATGCATGCAGACTATGCATTCACTGGCTGGTGCCCCCTACATCCTGCCTAAATACTTTTATCAAGCAGGTAGCCCCAACTCTGCCAGAATGAAAACTGACTCATACCTTGGGTCCTGGGATGCCCACCTCGCCCTATGTGGGAAAAAGGATAGGATTACAATAAATTCAGACGTGTGTAGCAATCAGAGAAAAACAAACCAACAGCCCCGTGGTGACTGCCTGTCTTCAAAGGGTCCTGTCTTTGGTTTATGCTGACTCTAGTGTTCTCTGGGCCTGTTTCTGCCCTCTCCTTTGTCTTTTAGGGACGCTAACCCCTGGGAAGCTCAGCAGGGAGGGGGGCCCAAGGTCAGAGCACCTAAGCCCACCAGCCCCAAGAATGCCTCTCAGAACACCTCCTGAGCCTGGGAGCCATTTAGGCTTAGTTAAGAGCAGAGACAAGCTCTGGGAATAGTCCATTTAAAAGGACCTTCTGATGCTCCCCAAGCATGCGGGTCTTCCTCATCCCATCCCAGGAAGTGGTGGGAGCAGCTCTCCATCTGATCCCCCTCCCCCCGCAGCCCGAGACCACAGTAGATTGTGGTCAGCAGAGACAGGCTGGCCTCTGAAGACATCTATCAATCCAGCTACACTGAAACCTGAAATCACCCTTTCAACCAAATGAAGGGCCGACCCCTAAGTTGCTGGTCCATTTGTAGTGGGAAGACATATATGGAGACCCTGACTTGAACCCGAGCCCTGCCGGCCCCACGACTAAGCATCTTCCTAAGCTGAGGATGCAGGCTATGTCCATGGGCTCACCCTATGGCACACATTCTCCACAGACCCCAAGCATGCAGTGCCCACCACCCAGTGGCTACAAGTGTGTGCTGAGTTACACCATAGGAGCTGACTTACAACACTGCCTTTCTGGCCGGCCACTCCTGGTGGGCCCTCTTTGCCTGGAGGACCTGGAGGTCCCTGGAGGACAGAAGAACAAAGAGATGGGGTGGACAGGATCCATGGTGAGCAGGTAACAGCTGGCACCCAGCCTTCCCGAGAGCCAGGATATAAACTCCCTCCGCCCCTAGGTGTATGCACAGCTCAGAAGGTACAGTGTAGAAGCCCCTGTGTGTGCTCTTTATTGGAGCTGTTGATTATACTGGGGAGACTAAGGTGGGAGGCTCATGCATCCATTCGGTCTAGAGTGTGTAAATGTGTGTCCCAGAGTCACCTAGTGTGTCAGTGCCCCTAGAACTAGAGGGTAGCCTACCCCCCCAATCCTGAGAGTGACCCCAAATGAGACCAGCCTCCACCTCGAGGCTGGAGCATGGGAATCCTGAGGTAGATCCAGCGAGAGACCTCATGTGATTCTCCCCTCCCCTGTTCCTAGCCAAGAGGATGCTCTGGGGAGGGGAGGCAGCAGAACTTACCGGGGGGCCAGGAAATCCGGGGGGCCCTTCCTTCCCAGGCACACCAGGAAGGCCTGCAGGTCCTGGAGCATAGGAGCTGTTGACTCCAAAGCGCCCTGGTTCACCAGGCAGTCCTGGGACACCAGGGGGTCCCGGGGGACCAGGGAAGCCTCGTGGGCCCTGGACACGAGAGATACAGTACATCATAGAATATAAAGGCATGCTGGACAATGATCACATCCCCTGCTAGTCTTGCCCCACCCCAAAGGGTCCCCCCTGATGTCTCAGACATCCTGCCCAGTGACAGTGGGTGTGGGGTGCAGCCACTTACCCTGAGGCTCTCCATATCACCACTGAAACCAGATCCTTCCATGTCAATGAAGGTCTGAGGGAAGGGCGAGAGAAGCCACCACAGGACATAAATGCATCATCCCGAGTACCAGATAGCATCACCCAGCTGCCCCCTAACCACCCAAAGATGCCTGCGATGGCAGGTGGGACATCATGCTTTGCCCCACGGACTGGCCACCATCCCAAGCCTGCAGCAGGTACCCATGCTCTTGGGCCAACACTACCAGGAACCGGTTTGTAGGGTTGAGTACTGGGACCTGGTGTGGAGGAGGGAATTTACCAACTTGTCCTGTCTAAAGGAGGGTCCTGGTGGCCCTGGAGGTCCTGGAGGTCCTCGAACTCCAACACCAGGATCTCCCTGGGACATAAGGCGAATCTGTCACACCGAGGACACTGAGGACACATGGTCCCCACTCTCAGTTAGGAGCTGGGACAAGAAAGGAGCCATGCTGTGGTCTGCACACACGTACCTTCTCACCCTTGGGGCCCACTTCTCCTGGGGTTCCTGGAAAGCCTTGAGGCCCAGTGTCACCCTGGAAGACAAGGATAGGAGTTAGACAGAGGGAAGCACCTCTCTTCCTTCATACAATGAATCTTGAGCCCCAAATGCTTCTCATTCAGGAGCAGAGGGCAGATAGGAGTCAAGCCCTTCAGGAATTCTTGGAGGCCTAATAAACCAGGAAAGGCCATGCCACCGAGATGACCCCAGAGGAGAAAAACAGGATTTAAAAGAGACACCACTGGCTATGGATGGCACACATCCTCTTCAGAAGTCATCTAAGGGAACCACAGATCTGAGTGTAAGTCCACTGCGTGTGTATGGGATGCACATGCGTCTGTGCAAACGTGATGGACACACTGGGCTTAGGGAAACCTCCGGTTAACACTGAGCCTGGACTGCGTGTAGCTTCAACACAGCTCTGTCTGGCACAAAGAGCTCCCTGTGGCCACTCTGGCAGTGTGGGGGACCCCATCTCCTCAGTGCTGCGGCCCCTCTCTTGCATTCCAACTTCCCCCAACTCTTTGTTGTGAGCCCGCACCCAAGCCCCTCCGAAAATCTGGGAACAACACTCTGTGGTTTTGGAGTCACATTGTGCCTGCCTTTAGCCACCTGTAGTTAGTTAGATCAAAAGTACAACCCAAGCTAAGCCGCCTTTTTAAAGTGTCCTCTCTGGGAAACCATAGCCCTCAGCTGTATGCAGACGGCCTGTGGATCCTGTGGACAGTGTGTACAGTGTCTGGTACAGAGAAAAAGCCAACTTACCGGCCTTCCATCTTCACCAGGGTCACCCTGTAACGTGCAAGAGAAGACACTATGAATTCAAACTGTCCTAAAGCCACTACACAAGACTGGGCACAGAGAGACCAAAAAGTGGGAAAAAAAATACCTCTAACATGTAAACCTGGTACCCACTTTCCTTTTTCCTTCAGACATTGAAGAGTATTTTGTTGTTCTATTTTTATTTTTTAAGACATGACTTCTTTGTGTAGCCCTGGCTGTCCTGGAACTTGTTCTGTGGACCAGGCTGGCCTCAAACTAACAGAGATCAACCTGCCTCTGCCTTCTGAATGCTGGGATTAAAGGCAGGTTGAAGACTATTCTGAAATGGACTGATCTTGTAAAATTTGTTGTTCTAGTAAGATAGGTCATAAGACCAACTGCTATTTCGCTTTTGTAATCAAACTTGCTCACTCTGCTCAATGACTAGGACAAGGGCAAGACATTTATGTTCAAATTAGACCCCGCCCACACGTACACAGAATACACTTAATCATGTGAGGTCTGACTTCATAAGCCATGGATTAACATAACTAGATGCTGCATCTTGGGAGTTCTCTTGGTTGCAGTCCTGGAGCCATGAGTACCTGGCGCCACTATTTAATAAAGCCTCCTTTTATTAAAATACATTCATGGTCATGGCAAATCTCTGAGTGACCCAGACCCACAACAGACAGCACTTCTGCAGTAGAGTTTAGGTCCAGGGTTGACTTGGGCGTCCCTGACCTCCGTGCTCTAACTACCTTCAGGCTTCAGTGCACAGCAGAAGGCTGGTAGAAATCCCAGCATCCGAGGATGCTGTTGCTCTGATCCCAACCAACTCTCCCACCAGCCCCAGTCAGAGACCTCAGCTCCAGCCCAGATCACAAGGGGAAGCCAGGACTCACCGGTTCACCATCCCTTCCTGGAGCTCCATCTTTTCCTGGTGGCCCCTGAGGCCCTGGGGGTCCTTGTGCTCCAGGGACAGGTTGTGCACTGGGGTTCTGTACCACTGGGCCTGCAGGACCCTGGGGACCAGCTGGGCCAGGTAAGCCCGGAACACCTGGCTCCCCCTTTTGTCCCTTCAGACCTCCCTAGAGACAAAGAGGATATCGGCTGCCACAATCTGCATACAAGTTCCCCTCACGCTGCTGCTACATTCTCAGGGGCCTGAATCTCAGGCCTCCAGGGAATACGGAGGTGCAGGTTGGGGGTGGAAGCATTGTAGAGCACAGGGCAGCAGGCCAGGGGAGGGAGTGTGGGCCTGAGGTCACAGTGAGAAGCCACTCAAGTTTCCCAGGTGCCCTGAGACAAGGTCATGGGCAAGTGACCTCACCTTTATCAAGCCACTTCCATGATTCTGGACGCTCTCTTCCCGTGTACCGCTTGTGCCAGGAAGGGTCTGAGCTGGGAAGAGGTAGAGGTGGCATGGTCAAGCTTCAAGCAGCCCCAGGCTCTTGGCTTTGCTGCCCAAGCTTTGCTTCTCCACCCAGCAAGAGCCCCGGGGACGAGGCTATGAGAACGGCCATTTGCCTTTCCGCCCACCAAAAACCCTGAGGACAGGGACCAGGGGAATGTTGAGTGGCAATGGTCACCTAACATGGGCAACAGGAAAGAAGCACCAAAGTCACCACAGCCATTTAAAGTAAGTCCAGTGACAACCGAAACCCTCGAGAAGATGCCTGAGTTTGTTTTAACATCTCTCCAGCAAAACTCCTTCTTATCACGTTCTCCTCTTCCAACGTGCAATTTGAAAAACAGAAAGCCAGCAGCAATTCTGAGATGAACCCCAGAGGTTCACCTAGAACCCACCATCCACATGGTACCTCTGACACACCAAGGCACATGTGACATACATATGCACACACACACAGTGGTGAATTCACACACACACGTGCCACTTCTTCTGCAGAACTGTCTGGACATTTGTGGCATTTGCTATGACCTCTGCCTCGAAGACTGTGGTGTTTCGCAAGGGCAAGGCTATCATTCACAAGTCGGTCACGGTCACATTCAGGGATCCAACCTTGATAAAGGAGCAGTGACTTGATAAATGGTCCACACTCCCCTGGCTTCTCTCAGAACAGTAACCATGAAGATGCCAAACGAGTATCTCCTGCTATGTTGGTTCCATGTCTTTTACATGTGTCCAACACACGAGTGCTGCTGGAGCCAAAGTTGGGCCCAGTGAGCCTGCTAACGGGTTTTGGACAGTCTTTGAGCTGAGAGTGGGTCTTACAGATGTGCACAAACAAGAAACACTTCTAAGGTCAGAGGCAGAAAATGCCACAGAAACATGGCTGACCCCAAGCCTGAAATAGAAGTTGGCCAACAACAGCAGTTGTCATTCCTTCCTTTGCCTTCCCTCAGGAGCCTGTCCTCACTGGAACCACAAGACAGGTCCTTCTTGAAAATACAGAGTACCATTCCCTAGTGATTAATAAGAGGGTTGTAGGGTGATACCCGGAGGCAGATCTTAACCACATCTCACTAGCAGCAGACAGTATAAACTTGTATCACGCCAACATGTCACACCTCTTAGACACCAATTACGTCTCTAAGTAGAGTTTCTACTATTTAGAGGCATCTAGTGCTCCTTGGCTGCGGCACCGAGCCCCCCACCTTGGGTTAGAACTGATGATCACACGGTTATTCACGGATGAGTTCAGTCCTAGCAGGATATAGGATCTGTAGCCACAAATGAGGATTGGTCAATCTAGTGGACGTCCCAAGAGCTGCACAAACAGCGTGCTCAGGCCTCTTACTCATTCTCAGGGCTCTAGGAAATGCCACTCCTTGCCTCTGAGGCTGACATTGTTCTCTGGGGGAGGGGCGCTGCTGATGGACTTTGTCCACACCGGGTCATGGGTTCATTAGCTGCCTAGTAAGGAGTGAGCCAGGTATCTGATCAGGGTGACCCAGCCTTTCCATCCACCACAGCCGAACTGCCCCACCTGCAGGAGCCACTACCGTGTTTAACCACAAGAGGGCAGCATGGGCTCTCCCTGCAGCTGCAAAGCTTTCCTGGAACTTCAGGTTCTGCAAACCTAAAAAGCACTGCCTTAGGGGGCATTTAAAACTGTGCAAACATGGCTAAGAGAAATCAAACAAGACCTAAAGAAAAGGCAACAACGGGTCCCGAGAGTCATTTCTCTGCCCCATTGAAACTCCAGCAGGCTTTTTCTTCTCTGCGGATGTGGCAACAAGACAGACAGGGAGAGCCATGGCTCAGAGAGGTGGGCAACAGACAGGATGATACAGAGAGACGGGCGTGGAGATCTACAGCACAGAGGAGAGACCGGAAATAGACTCAAGTGTGGGAGGCTGGTGCCCCACATCTCAGAGTCAGCTCAGCAGGGGAAAGGGGGCTTCAACAGCGACAGAAGTTGGGAAACAGTTTTTTTCAAGATTGAAAGTAGGTCTTTGGATCACCTCGGGCAGAGTTTCAGGTGACGCTAGAAGTGAGATCTTTGAATTTCAGCAGAAATTAGAAAGTTAGGCTTTTCTAGAGATGCTGTTGAGAAGATGAAGGTGGGTATTGTGGCTCTTGAGAAGCAAAGACAGGAGGGTCACAAGTTCAAGACTAGCTTAACAATTGCTCACACACACAATCACTCACACATACATGGAGATATCTCTCTATCTATCGACATCTATAGATATCGATAGAGATGTTATATCTATATATTTAGGTATTAATATAGATATTTATATAGATATAGGTATATATCCTCAGAGGGTAGGGTAGGAGAAGATGAAGAAAAAAAGGGAGTCCGGCAGTGGTGGTGCACACCTTTAATCTCAGCACTGGGAGGCAGAGGCAGGCAGTTCTCTGAGTTCGTTCAAGACCAGCCTGGTCTACAGAGTGAGTTCTAGGACAGCCAGGGCTACACAGAGAAACCCTGTCTTGGAAAAACAAAGAAAGGAAGAGAGATAATATGAAGAAGACAATGATTGTGTTTAAATCCAGAATCTCAAAATTCAACAATAAGACATCATACAGCCCATTAAACTTTGGCATAAGATCTAGACATCTACTGAGACGTAAGCCCACGAAAAGATGCTGGTTATCACAGAAACAAGGGAGAGCGCAGGGCAGGCCACCCCACTTCCATAACAGCCACATCTAATGACCTCACTGAGGTGAGGTGCACAGGCTCCCACATACTGGGGTGGGTAGTAAACACACAAATCATTTGCAAATGGCTCAGCAGCAGCCGAGACAGAAGACCCAGAACAACATCTCCTGAAGCCACCTCAAGCTGGACATAGTTAGTGCATACGGCCATCACCAGCTCCTCAAGCTGGACATGGCTCATATGCCCATCGCCAGGTCCTCAGACTAGACATAGTGTATACGCTCATCACCAGGTCCTCAAGCTGGACATAGTGTATACGCCCATCACTAGGTAAACGGACAAATACACTGTGGTCCGTCCATACTGTGGATGATAGGCCAACCACTGATTCTCTATAATGTGAATGCTTCTTATCAAAGGGACACAGTGCCAAGCAAACCCAGATGCTTACTGCTTTTCCCCGCGTGTGAAGTTCCGGGAAAGGACAGCTCTCTGTGCTGACAGAAGGCAGAGCAGTGGCCTGAGATCCATGAACACTGACAGATGGGAGTCAAGGCAGAGCTCACCTCAAGGCCCGTGGGCTCACGCAGCCCAGGTGAGATGTAAGTCCCCACTCATGAGTCAGGAAGTGGCTCCTTTCCAGCCTTGCTTGACTTGTGGGTCAACAAAGAAAGGCAGCCATGGCTGGCGACCGGTGGAAATCTAGACCTGGGGTCACAGCTGGGAGTACTTGGGTATGGTCAGCATCAGGAGGAGCTGGAGCTTGTTCTCCTTAGAACCTATGGAAGCCCTGGGGACTCCCAGAAACTCCCAGAGACTTTCATAGGCTCCACTGCGCTTCAGCCCAACAGAGCTGGAAGGAGGCATTTATGCTGCTATGTTACCAGGTCTGTAATCAGCAGCGCAGAGAACAGCCCAAGCCACACCACTCATAGCTCACACGCCTCAGGCATTCCCAGCCCTGCCTCCTGCAGACCAGGAGCCTTGTGCATGTCGCCCAGACATCGGCTTCCGTGCGAGACATCTATCACCCTATATGCTGACCTGCGGCACAGCCTGGACTAAGGATGTATTTTCCCTTACATCTCTCCTCTCTTGGACTAATTTACACTCTCCTAGCAAACCTGCTGGCCCTGACCCAGGAGATGGCATGTCTGGAAAGGTTCCTACACACGACAGACAAAGACAATATAGAGAGAGAGCCTGATGAAGGACATGTCACAACTACCTGGTTCAGAATTCTCCTGGGGCCCAGCCAGAAACCTGCCTCAACAGGACCTTCTTAGATGGCAGAAGGGCGGCAGGTGGGGACAGGGCTGGTCCTGATTCAGTCTTCATCCAATACGCGTGCGCACACGCGCACACACACACACACACACACGCACACACTCACATACACATGCTCACACATGCACATATACACTCATACATACACGTGTACACACAAACACACACATATATACACACACTCATGCTCACACACACATACATACACATGCACACACACACCACACATGTACACACACACTCACATACACACAGAGCACATCCAGAAAAGTTTTACCTCCTATAGACTCTACCGTGGTTTCTTCCTCTGTTTCTTCTGTTCTAGAATCTTCCGTGGTGCTGCCTCCAGCCAGGGGCGGGGAAGTGACAGGGGGTGGCTGGGGGAGCCTGGGTGCTAGAGATATATCCTGCAAGAGGAGAACAGGAAACCTGGCTGTGTTATTCAGAAGCACAACTATCCCGTGCATGTATGAGCTGGCAGTTCCGTCTGGCTTTGGGGTTTACAGCTTATGAAATGGGTTGCTTGACAGGATTTTGAGGAAGATGAGGAAACCACCACTCTAGTTGAGATGAATCGCCAGGACTTTCTGCAGAGCTATCTGCTGAAGGTTTTCATCAGCCTAGAGGCTGGGTCCTACACCTCAATAGTCCTTAATTCCTAAAACTTGACATCACCAGAGGACCAGGGACAAAGAGCCTTTCCGGGCCCAGTACGGATACTCCCTGTGGCTGGAGAACACCAGAGATGCCTAAAGTAGGGTCCTCAGGTATCACAGTAGGGTGTACGGAACAGGTGTGCTCTCAAGGAGGGTCATGACAGAGACTTCTCCCTCGCCACCCCCCCCCCCAAGCACTGGCCCAGCATTGACTTCTTATTGTTCTAATGGAGGCTGTTCATCTACGCTGCAGATCCTCTGCCTTGTGCCAGTTTCAAACTCACCCAGGGGACCTGGTGGCACACAGCAGCATGACCTATATTCCTGATGACTTCTTATCGGTAACAGAGAGGTCCAGGTAGATGGGCCCTGGGGAGTATCTCGGCTGGGGTAGTGTTGGGGCTTGAACAAGAACTCCTCTGGACACTCTTGACACTGTCATCACACAGACATCACAGACCGGGGTGGGCATGGGACACCAGAGGTCCGCAGCTTTCATCCTTTGAAGGGGTTGGCTAGGCCCTTCATGGAACCCCTCACACAGTCCCTGCCTGTGACTGCAGGGTCAGGCTCCTGGCCGGAGTGAGCAGGTTACAAGGCAGAATGATATGAGTGCCCAAGCTAGTTATTAGCTGGTCTACAGACAAGACGATACCGATGTGACATGGCACTCATAAGCACATCTGTGCTTCCAGCATCTGCCATGCCCAGGGCACCGTGTATAGAAGCAGAGTTTTGCAAATCTAATCCACATCTGTGAGGAGAAGAGTTTATGACCATCAAGGGACACAGAATGTAGTCCCAGATTTCCAGATGACTATGTTCCCTATCCCTAAAACTGCCTGTCCCTACCCGAGTCCATATGTTAAGGAGGCCTCAGCACCTCTTCGAGCCATGGTGGCCATCTTTAGGCTACTTAGCATCCTGCAGTCTTCTTGGCCCTAACACCCAAGGTCCACCTTAAAGACAGACTCTTCATACTAGATGCTGGGGGCCCAGAGGGGGTTCACTCAAACATCCTTTTCCTATCTAGAGTGCCTCTGTGCTCTTGGGACCCTGGACTGGAAAAAGCATGCAATGAAATTCCCTGGAATGTCACTTGTCTGGCCCTCATGTTAGACACAATCCAGTTATGGCCCCATACCAGCCAAGAGCATCAACAAAATGCTGGGTCACCTCTGATGAGAAAGCTCTCTTTAGAGGAGAGTTCTGGCTCAGGACAAGAGGCAGCAGAGCCAGAGGGGGGACACAAGATCAACCTCAGACTGGTGCCTCCCTGCATGACGCAGGACTGCTGGGATGTCATACACACTTACACACGCTATGCACAGACCATATTTCCCCTCCCCTGCCTGAACCAAGGGATGGCCTCACCACCTGCAGGCACTCACCTCCTCCCTGTGTGGCTTGCTGCTTTCTTCAAAGCCACTTCCAAAGTCTCCAGATGCCTGCAGGGCGTGAGAGAAGCGAGAAAGAAGTCAGGACCAGAGGTCCCATGACAGGATAGCAACTGGACAGCAAATAAGACTCCTCCTGGGTCGAAATCAGTCAGACTTGCTGCTCGGGCAAGCCAGGATGGCCCGGTTGTAGACCAGAAGGTTGTAGATCAGGCTTGTGCACTCTTGGCTCTGTGACATGAGTGCCCTGTCCTTGCCATCCCTCGGGGACAGGCAAGGGAGGTAGGAAGCTGCCCCAGTCCAGTCTGACACTGAAGAAACATACGTGGAGCGTACGTACGTCACAATAATGTCCCCACCCATCATCTGCCTGGACAGGCTGCTTTCACGCTCTCCCTTCCCTACAGCCTCCAGGAGCTCTGGGGAAGCCAGGGGCCAGCCCTTCCTCTTGCCAAGGTGGATAACTTAATATAAACCCAAAAAAGAAATACTACCTGGGCCCATAGAGCCCATAGTGACATCTCGATGTCAAGGTGGCCCAGGAGGGATGGACTTGCAGACACCCAGCACGGGCAGCATGTGTCATGCCCACTGGATGGCATGCTCGTGAGTGAACGTTACCCATGCACTAGAGACTGGCACTAGACAGAAGCCAATCGCATCTCTGATTTTTCTCCCGGAAAAGGTAATAGCTGTTGTAGAATATTACTTTAAGATGTGTTACATTTGTTTATACTGTAGAGCGTTTGTTTAATGATGCAAAGATGTGTTACATTCTTTATATAGCATTTGTTTAACTCTGTGAAGCTGTGATTCGTCACCTGTCTAAAACACCTGATGGTCTAATAAAACGCTGAACGGTCAATAGTGAGGCAGAAACAAGGATAGGCGGGGCTGGCAGGCAGAGAGGATAAATAGGAGGAGAAATTAGGGGGGGGGGCGAGAAGGAGGAGCAAGAGAACAAGGTGAGGACACTAGGGGCCAGTCACCCAGCCACCCAGCCACCCAGCCAGTCAGTCACCCAGTTAGCCATGGAGTAAGAGAGAAAGGAAGATTACAGAAGAAAAGGAAAAAGCCCAGAGGCAAAAGGTAGATGGGATACTTTAAGAAAATCTGGCTAGAAATAAGTCAAGCTAAGGCCAGCCATTTATAAGCAATAATAAACCTCCAAGTATAATTTACTTGGGAGTGGTGGGCCCCCATAAGAGCCAAGAGGGTAAAAGACAAACAACATTTTGGCATTCCAACATAGATCCAGGCTCTGCCCAAGCGGAACTGGTGACTGGGGTGTTGTCATGCGCTATCATCTCCAGTGGGACATCCTCCCAATCCTGCCCTCTGGCAACAGTAGATTATTTTCCTCGGGTGTCATGATATTGTACACATGCACACACAGAAAACAGGGACACACAGAGATACAGTGCATATAGATCACATGAAAGATGCCCAGCACACCGAAAACAAACATACCAGCAACACGCAGAGAGACACAGAGACTACTCGGCTCACATACCACACATAATAGATGCACTGTGCAGAGAGACAACACACAGCGTAAAGGTAACAGCAGACATAAAAAAAAAAAAACACGAAGGCACATACACAGCAAGCAGAAAAAAATACAAAGACCAGATGTACCATACAAAAGACACACACAGTACATCAAGAGCTACACACAATCACACAACAGACAGACATACCCTCCCATAAACACACATCACACATAGCATATAAACATACACACAACCAAGCACGTATGCACTTTCCACAGTGTGACCTGTCCATCACACGGTGTCACTGTGGCTTGGTCTCTGACATTACATTTTCCAGGTTGTCCAAAATGGAAAGTTAAGGCGAGGAGTGGTGTCTGAACAACACATAGGTTCCTGGTACCCTACTGGCATCTTTTGGCTTTTCCCAGCATATCACTTTGGGACCCTTGCTCACAGGGGGAAGATACCCTCCCCCCCAAGACACTCACCCTGTCTTCATCATCATCATCTTCATCCAAGCAGTGCACAGGGCTCACCCGGGGGTTCTGTCGTATCTTCAGCTCTGAGATCTTCCCCTGGAGGGAGGCAGAAGTTTGAAAATGAAATGTCGCTCAATGGATCAGGTGTTGGGCCCCTCAGTTGCCAGCTGGTGGCACTGTTTGGGAAGGCGGTAGAATCTTAAGGAGGTGGAGGATCACAGAATTGGGATACTGGGAGACAGCCTTGACACTTTCCAGTCCTACTCTGCTTCCTGGCTGCAATGTGACCAGCTGCCCCAGTCTTGCTCCCTCTCACGGTCACAGACACCTCTCAAACTGCAAAGCCAAAATAAATACTTGCCTTCTTTTCTTAAGTGGTTCCTGGTCAGATATTCGGTTACAAAAACAGGGAGAGAGCCTCTGACTCGTGCTGGCCCCCAGCCTAGCCTGATGCTACCAGGGAAGCTCCCTTTTGTCAAGAAGACTGAGGAGCAGACTCATTGAATGGTTTTCAAGTTGTGGCAGTTTCTGGGCCAAGACCAGGGAGGCCGTGATGATCAGATGCACCCAACAATGAACGTAGCTGCATCTCACACTTCCTGCCTAGACCGCTGGCTCTTCTGCAGGCTCCGGGGTGTCTGTCTGAGGGAGTTCACACGCACTTTCCCCGTGTTTAGGTTCTTACTTTGATTGCACTCTACTGCGCTAATTTCAGTTTACTAAATAGAGCCGGCACTTCCTCATTTCCAAAGAGATTTTCTAGACTCCTGTCACAGCCAGAACTGAGTGGATGTGGCCCGATGGGGAGAGCCTCCCTCTGGCTGTTCAGTCGGCTTGCGTGAACAATACATATCAACACTAAGGGAAGGTTGTGACTGTCCTAACGAAACTTGACATGGAGACACTGAAATCTGGATTCCATACCCAGTTTCACACATCACAATATAACTTGGTTCTTCTGGCCACTTGAAAATGTAGTCATCACCCTAGCTTGGGAGCCTTGCTGGAGTCAGCAATGGCTGGCCCATGCTGTGTTGACTAAGTCTGGTGTCCTCTTTATTCTAGGGAATGTCCCCAATCCAGATGTTTTCATCAGCTGATTCTCAACCACACCTCCCTGTCCCCCACAAGGGACATATGACAATTAACAGTCCCACCTCCATCCCCAGGTGAATATCCCTGAGGCTTGAGGTGCCCCCCTCGTCTCTTCTCATCTCAAAGCTTGCTTTAGTTTGGATTCTCTGAAAAATATTTCCCCCAACACTGCCCATGGGGTCAAAGCCACTTGGGGCTAGGTCTACCCTGAACCCCAAGTTTCACAATTCTTCCCAGTGTTGAAGATAGCAAAGTGTATGTGTATGCGTATGTATGTAGTGTACATGTATGCTTGCATAGGTCTCTCTTTCACACACACACGTATATGCACAGCTTGGCTTGCTAGATGGTTATGGCAGGGGAGAGGGAGGCAGGCTTCAGGAGAGCCCTGTACACCACAAACACTTTGACTTGGTCATTTCCAGCCAGGGCAAGGCCTTCATTGGCCATGAACAAGCATACACACATGGGGTACATCACACCAGGTACATACGTGGGAATCATGCCAGGTACATACGTGGGACTCATGCTAGGTACATACATGGGAATCATACCAGGTACATACATGGGAATAACGCTTGATACATACATGGGACTCACACCTTCATGGGACGACTCACACCTGCAGCACCCAGCAGGCCCACGCTGAGGGTGCTTTGGCTTCAGGTCTTTAGATACCTGCAATCCTGACAGCTATCTGATGCTATCTGACACTGATGTCTACTGGATTATCCCCAGGCATGTGAGAGGGAGGTGGTGACATCACTTGACAGCAGCAGACTGAGAAGCTGCTCTCAGTGACCCATGTGATGGGATGTGGGGACCACCTTCTCCCAGGTGCTGCCCTCAGTAGCTGGGATACACACGTAGCCTGAGGCCTGACACTAGTGTCCCTTGCTTAAACCAAACTAGTGAGACTATACAGGTCCCTCTGCATGCTCTCCACCCTCACCTGCCTACCCCCACTCTCTCCCCAAAGTCACCACAATCTACAGAGTCCCTGGCACCTGAGAGGACAGGGGCAGAATCCCTACAAAGCCCTTGGGCCAACAGAGCCCATCCTCACAAGCCACAGATTTCAATGTACTGGGCATCAAGAAACCGAGGCTCCATCCAAGGTCACAGGAGGACAGTCTCTGGCAAGGAGCAACAGAAAGAAAGCTCTAGTCTATGTCAACCCTGTGGGCCTCAAGAAACAGGGCTTGACCTCGCAGGACCAACACTGTGACAGGGGGGACTCCGTGCCCTTTATCCCATGTGCTATGGTGGTCTGAGATTTGGGTGGCCTCTAGGTCAGGGGAAAAACAGAACTGGCATCTGTACCCGCTAAAAAGATCAGAGGAACAGCATTGGACCAGCAGGTAAAGAATGATCTGCCTGTATTTGGGTCCAAGGGGATTCTGGGAGTTCTACCAAGCTAGTAACATCAGGACAACATATAAGTAAGTACATATGATTGTGTGAGAAGGAGCATATGACTGTGTGTGTGTGTGTGTGTGTGTGTGTAAGGGCGGGTATCACCTATGCCCAGGAGCCCTGCACCAGTTAGTCACAGCCACATTCACTGGAAGGGAGAAGCACACTTCCTGTCAGCCAGCTTTCGGGGTCAACAGTATCTGGGGACAGAGTGGACATCTTCAGAAGCCCGCTCAGAGCTGCAGCTGGTGCCTTGGTGACAGTGGAGAGCCCCCAGGGTCAGGAGGAATTGGGTTTAGATACTAGAAAACTGCTTCCTAAGGGCAGAGCGGGCCAGGGGCGTTTCGAGTGGTCTCAGCAACAGACACAGCGTTCCATACAGACGGGCTCACTGCTGTGGATGGGGCCACACTCTCTGCCGAGGCTGTGGGTGCCTGCGTCTGGAAAAGGCCTCCAGGGGGCAGAAAAGACTTGTGTCTGTGCTGAGTTCAGCACTGTATCCTGCCCTTGTGACTCCTCCACCCACGCCTGGAGTTCTTCCAATGGCTAATGGGGACAATGTCAGTTGTAAAAAAACCATAAGACCCACTGCAAATATTGAATGGACTTGGACCCAGAAGTTATGCAATCTGGACCTTGGAAAATGGGGGACTGTGAACATTTAGAGACGAGTGCCACGTAAAACTCTTCCTGCCACGCCGACCAACAATGCTTTAGCCATGGGGAAGTCACTCAAAACAGTTTCCCGTCAACAGGAGGCACAGCGCCGTCTTGGCTCACCTGAGCCTGCCATGGCAGAAGCAGTGTCCCAGCCAGCAGAGGTCAGAGGCTGAAGCCATGAAGTGGGAACTCCTGCTAGTGTGGTCTCATGGGCTGCATCCTAGTTTCCCCATGGCCTTCAGGGTGGCCTCTTTTCCCCACCCCTTTCCCCTCAGCCCCTCTTCCCCTCCCTCCCTCCCTTTCTGGCCTCCCACGGCCAGTTCCTGCTGCGGTGTGACCCAGCGTGCTGCCTGCTCTGCTTGCTAATGCCTGACATCCATCCCTGCTGCCCTCACACTCATTGCCCCACACGGCTTCACGGGCCTCTGGCTTCAGGTCTCCGCTCCCGTGACCAGGTCCCGACAGGCCACGTCATCACAGCCAGCCTCCTTTGGTTCTCTTACAATGCCCAGGAAGAAAATGGTGTACACGCTGTGGCACTGTACCCACCACAGGCTACTTCAGATGCAAGAAGAGGGGTCCGTGGAGCTTTATTTGCCAGAACACTGAGCAGGAGCCAGTGGGACAGACTGCTGAGAAGCACGGGGATAGATGGACTGAGAGTGGACCCATGAGGGCTCTGTTCTCCTCAATCAGGAGTGGAACTACTGGGGTCAGATTCTGCCCTCTGCTGCCTGCTCCAGCTCCCATACAGGAAGGCCTGTTCTGACATCGCACACTTGAGGGCTGGGGCCACCTCTCCGCACCAGCACAAGCATCCGTTACTCTGATGATGGAGCCACAGTTGCACCCTTAGGAAAATTCATAGCCTCAAGTCTAGATGAAGGAAATGGAAATTGACCTTGAGATGCCCAGCTGAATGAGAACACTGGAAAAACTGTGCTTAGCGGGTCTCCTGGGGTCAAAGGCACCAGGAGTTGGTGGGGAGGTTACTGGAGGTGAAAGACAAACACAAAAGGAAACTTAAGCCAATGTGTAGACCTCATAAAGACAATGCAGGGCTGGGCTGGGCTCCATGGGAAATACTGGCCCAGCATGTGGGAGGTCCTGGGCTTAGTCCTCCCTAGCACCCACACTAGGAAAGAAAGACAAAAGAAAGTCAAGAGAATAAGAAGTAGTAGAGGCACCTCTGACAGGAAAAAAATAGTCGAGAAGAATTATAACTACAACATAACCAACAGAACACCTGCACTGAAACACAGCCAGAAGCCACGCTTTGAGGGAACTGGTAACCAGAATGATGCTCACGACCAAACTCAAACGGACAGACATGAAGACAATGACATCAAACTGTGAGGACCATCACCCAGCAAGGGCCAGGTCTAGGTAGCTATAGGCACAGCCCAGCTCTCCCTGGCAGTGTGTGGATGCAAGTAGGGCAGAAATGACTCAGAGGAAGCCTAGCTCCCCATCCCACTGGCTCCCCTCCCAGCGCGCTGGCTCTCCAGTTCCCTGGCTCCCTGACTCCCAGAGCTCTGGGCTAACTTTGGCCATGTCATGAGTCACATGATACAGTGACTCCTCCCCCAAATACCACAGCACCAAGTCTGCAAATCCAACTTGTATCTCCTTTTCTGCCACCAGCACATCTCCCCCGCTCCAGCCGGCATCCTTTAAACGGAAAGGATCCTGAGACCTAGCGTACAGCAGCAGGCAGGGTCAGACTGCTGAGGTCAGCGGGGGGAGGTGTCTATGGTCTGCAATGACCAGTTCCCCGAATGCTCTCTGTCTCTCTCCTTCAACCACCAAAGAGTTTTCATATCCAAGGTTGTGGGTTTTTCTCTCCTGACCCAAAATTAACCAAACAAACTCCTTAAATGCCCCAATGGTGTTTTTTTAAGTGTACAGACAAATGGCAGGCTGGGAATAAGATGTGTGTATACGTAGCCAGAGCTAAGTTTCTTTCAGATATGGAGAGCTGGATAAATCAATTAGGAATGACTGAATTCTCCCACCAAAATCCAAAGGGTGGGGGGGAGGGGAGAAGCTCACATTCACAAACACACCGAGAAACGAAAACGAAAACGATACAGCGTATCTACATATCCAACAGGCAAACCTTTTTTACACAGCCCGGCAAGACCCAGGCAGTGATGAGGCCACCTCTCTCAGGGTGGCTGTGCCCCTCCATCAGCACCACCGAGTCTCATGTACCCTGCTTCTCACCAGCTCTGCTGAGGAAGTCAGAGACGGACAGAACCTCTGAGGTCTGCCCTCCCCTTGAGAACTGGTGGCGGCAACACGGCACAAATGTCTCACTCTGGAAACACTGATGCTCGGCTTTCTGGGAATCGCGTTTGGAGAGGAGAAGGAAAACACACAGGGGCCCAGTTTGGTGCCAAAGTCCCGGTAGCTCTTGAACTCCGTGGGTTAAAAGTTCCTGCCAGAGGCAGAAGGTCAGCTTTCAGAGCTGTGGACACAGGGCTTAGAACAACTTACAACAGCAGGCCCTTGTCTGGGTCATAATTGACTGTCTGTCCCTGGGGACATGTCCTTCCTTGCACACACAGGGACCCCTGTCTGGGTTGGGCAGGGGCGTCCAGCTGCTGTTGGCTGGCGTACTGGATTCAGGAGCCATGAGTCAGTGCCAGCTGAGGGTCCCCACGCACTGGTTCTCAAGAGGCTGGGCTCCCAGCTGGGATCTCAGGAAGAGTGCCCTCCTACGAGAAACGTAGGACACAGAAGGGACAACACCCGCAGGGACATGGGAAAGAGTCAGAGGCCTTTCACTGTCACCCAGTGGGCCCTGAGAGAGTGGCAGTCTTCATTAAAATAATAAACGTCCCGGAGCAGCTGACCTAAGCAGGTCTGTTGTGTGGCGTCCCAGTCCCCAATTCCCAGCAGGGTACTCCCTCGACTGTGTGCAGATAAAGGAAGACCCTCTGGGTGACTGGCTTTAAGTGAGTAATTTTGGTCATTAGTTTTGAGGGAGGGTCTCAAATGAGTCTGGAACTCCAGATCATTCTCCTTCTGGCTCCCTGGTGGGGTTAGGTGTATGGCCCCAAGCCTGTCTCTTTCACAAGATGCCTGAGCACTTGTTTTTCAGGTGAAGTAGCTGAGCTCCTACTAAGCCCCACACTTTCCTAGCCTAAGCTTGCTGTCTCCAGCTCACCCCAGGCCCTGGCTCATATCTGGCTCATACTCAGGATAGGAGCCTGAGAAGAAACGGCCTCCAGCAGCCATTTTGTGGACCCTGAGGTCTCAAAGAACTCAGAAAAGCCCAGTGGGGCATCCAGGGTACCAAACAAAGAACAAAAGTTGGAACAGAAGCCACTGCAGCCACAAGTGGGGAAGCCACAAGAGTGGTCGCCCCAGGCTGCAGCATCAACTGGAGGAACTTGCTTTCCCTGGTCCCCCAGCCCCCTCCTCCCCTGGCTCAGCACACAGCAGGGCAGCATAGATTACCTGGAACTTGTCAGGGTCAGCTACTCCAGCCTGACCCACGAAGAGGCCAGAGTCATGCTCCAGTTCCAGGCCTTGCGGGGACCGAGCAAACGGCACCTTCTGGAACTCTTCGCAGTCTATGTAGAGAGCCACAGAGCGGCCATCCACACTGAGCGCGAAGTGTGTCCACTGGCCAACAAACGCAGGCAGGTGGAAGCTGGCGCCCGTGCGGGTCTGGCTGGCACCTTGTTCCGTGTAGAGCAGTGAGATGTTCTGGTAGCCATCTTGCACCCCCGAGAGCTTCACGCCCAGCGAGACCACTGTCTGCGCAGCGTCTGTGATGGCAAACAGCACCCCTGCGGCCTTTGTGGCCGGCTGAATATGAAACAGGATTGAAAAGTCACGGAAGAAGAGTCTAGGGAAGTGGTGCTGGGCCACCTGGCCACCACTGGAGTCTAGTCCAAAGATGTAGGCTGGCCCGACGTCGGGGTCTTCGATCTGTTGGATCTGCGGGGGCAGAGGGTCCCCGAGGAGCTGTGGCAGCCCCACCTCCTCAGCGATGTTCTCTGCAAAGAGAAAGACATCCGGTGAGGCGGCTGCACAGGAACACACTCGGTCACGGTGGCACCCTAGGAGACACAGACCACGAAACCACCCCTTATCCAGGTCTGCGTGGCCGTCTCTTTGAGTTTCTCCTTGTTTTCATGGATTCCCGGGCCAAAGCAAATATCCCAAGAAGGATGTGAGGGGCTGGGGCATGGAGTCCCCCACTCTGACTCTATAGGAGGACAGACAGGGAGCAAGACTTCTCTACGGCAAAGAGAGAGGCAAAGAGAGAGGAGGCGACACAAGGTAACTCCTGTCTGAAGCTCCACCTGGTCTGGGAGTCAGCTAGAGACAAATCGAACCTGGGAGATTCAAATGGCCAGGCTCCAAAGTCGGCTTTCTCTGGCTTCCTCTTGTCATTATGGTTTCTCACTCTGGTTCCCCACATGCCTGTTCCTCAGGAGCTCTCCCGTGGCCATTTCTGCTCCCTGAAGCTTAACACCACACTACGGTGCAGAAGGCTGTCTGACAGCTGGCAGCGGCAGCCCGGTACAGACTCCCCCGGATTTACGACTCTTCTAAAGTGCCCCAGGGTGGCCAGTGACCCATTTCACTTACAGACTTCACTCCTGGAACCATTTTGAGTTGGGCACAGATGTATGAGCCCTTCTTGTCTTTAGGCCAGGCCACCAGGGCCACTCAACACACTCAAGCAGTCCAGCATTACAAAAGCCTGGGGGAGGCGCTTGGGCAAGGAGAAGGTTCACGGTCAAGAGCTCTCCTAGGAAGGAACAGCTGGAGGCAGGCGTGCTTGGTAGTATGTGAGTGTGTAAGGATACCATGCCTCAGGTCAGGCTGTGGGGCTAGACCAACAAGGCCTCTACAGAGTAGGAGATGGGAAATACTGTACTTCCAACTTCACAGGACAAATGGAGTCACCAAGCCCTTCAAAACCAGAAGACAAGAGCTGCCATAGACCGCATCCCTCAGGGGACAAAGAATAGCTTTGTGTGCCGAGGGGGCATCCTGAACTGCTGCAAGGGTCCCCGTAAGTCACATGTTCATCCTTTCACATGCTCTTAAGCCCTGAGTGCTGACCAGACATGGTGCTGGCCAGGAGCAGAGGGGACACAGCTTGGTGGGGGCACGGCTTGCAAGAGCTGAGTGTCTGCAGCCTTCAAGATGAGAGCAGAGAAGGGTGGCGGGCTAGCCTTGGGAGCTCAGTGATCCATCACAATCATAGCTGCTACAGTGTTTCCTTCTCACTTGAAATGCTGCAGCCAAGTCATGCCTGCTGCCTGAGTGCTGGAAATGAGGCCTTTCTGCCCCTCCTTCTAGGACAGCAAAAATCCCTGGCGCCTCACTAGCCCAGCACACAGGACTCTACAGCTGCTGGCTTTCTGGGCTGGAAGGCACCAGTGTGTGCCATGATGATCCCTGGGTCCTTAGAGACCTACAACCAGCTCTTCCCAAGCTCTTCCATTTCCTTTCTATGAAATTCTTTTCGGCTCTGCTGGGAGCAGATGCCAAATGCCAGGGCAGTAAGATCACTGGCTCTGCTCCCTGGTTACAGCATCGTGGTGGGGGAAGGGCCTGGCTGCCTAGGCCAGGAAGCTCATTTGTGGTTAAGGAGCAAGGCCTGTGCCATGCTCTGAGGGCTCAGAGGCCTTCTGGAGGACTGTGGTCCCTTTGCAAGCTGAGACTCCTCCAGTCACCCATCTGACCTCTAATCCAAGAATGGGGGTGCTACCTGGTTAAGTCCACCTCCCCTGAAGTAATCAGATATAGTTCTGAAAGGGCAGTATTTAAACATGTACACCCTTGAGCTACATGTGGAACCAATTATGTCCAGCATCCCTGTAGCACAAATAATAAAAACCCAGACACAGATATTGGGGTTCAAGCTGAAGATCAGAAAAGCAAAGCGGCCAGCCACTGGCTCTTACCTCCACCTCAGACCAAAATGAACGATCCTGCCTCCACTAATCCTCAGACTGAGACTTAGCATGAGACCAGTCTCCTGCCATCTTATATTCTGCTCTAGCACTAGGATTAAAGGTGTGCACCACTATTGTTCTGCCTCTATGGCTAACTAGTGTGGCTGCTGGGATTAAAGGTGTATTCCACCACAGTCTGGCCTGTATAGCTGACTAGTGTGGCTGTTTTGCATGCTGATCTTCAGGCAAGCTTTATTTATTAAAACACAAATAATGTACATACATCCCCCCACAAGAACAGTCAAGACCTGGCTCTCAAGGGACCAATAGGGAGAACATCTGGTACTCCCACCTGACTGGACTAGGCTCCTGGTGGTAGAGGAGCTTCTGCCAGCCTCCCTCCCGGGACAACAGCCAGTCCATTTCCCAGTGCGACTCTCCATACACTTGACTTGATGGCATCTTCACTGCCAACCTCAGCAGCAGGGCCTGGTTCTAGAACATGAGGGCAGAGGGCATAGCCCTTTGGCAAGAGGGCTCAGTTAGGCAAACATCATGAGAAAAAGACCCGTCACAGGGACCGTGGCAGGATGGATCATCAGCACCAGGACAAGAGTGCATCTCTAAGCGGGTGATACTCCCTCCCTCATCAAGGATCCTGGCCAATCCAGTCTGCCTGCCCTGGAGAACGGCCTCCCGCTAAGCCAGTAGCCCATGGGCTGCTCAGGGGTCCTTGACTCCTCCAATGCAATGGAGCAGACCTGTCTTTCTATATGTGCCGGGCTTCTGACAGCCAGGGCCCCCCAGCTCGCCAACCGGCTCTCCCAGGGATGCAGCCTGGGTACAGACTGTGCATCCACCCCTGGGCTGGTCATTCACTTCCTCGCATATGCTCTGGGGCTGCTGTGTATAGGACTCAGGCTATGGCAGCCTATCCCTAGTCTCTCTGGGCTCCCAACCATGTAAAACACAGACTGCGACAGTCCTGCCCCAAATCACCTAGGCCTGGGTCCCGGCTGAGCATCCAGTGCTCCTAGAGTCCAGGGACAAACATTTTCCTTAAGTCAGAGGGAATCGTGGCAGTCCTTCCCTGCTTCTAAATTCTGTGGTCTATTCAGACACAAACATACAGTTGCTGTGTGGGGACATGGGATGAACGGTAACATCTGTGCTGGACCCTGCCTGGGTACCCAATGGTCACCTAGTACACAGCGGCAGAATCCAGGGGTACAAGTCCAGCAAGTAGTCCAGTGATGTGGGATGCCCCTCTGTATGCTGTAAATGTTTTATCAGTACTGGTTAATAAAGAAGCTGATTGGGCCTATGGCAGGGCAGAATAGAGCCAGGAGGGAAATCCCAGAAAGAGAGGAGGAGAAAGAAAGTAGAGTCTGAGAGATGCCAGCAGCGGCCGGGGAAACAAGACGTGAGGTAACACGCCATGAGCATTGTAGTAAAATATACAATAATAGAAATGGGTTAATTGAAGTTGTAAGAGCTAGTTAATAATAAACCTGAGCTAATAGGCCAAACAGTTTGTAATTAATATTAAGCCTCAGAGTAGTTATTCAAAAACCAGTGGGTGGGAGAGAAACCTCCAGAAACATTCCAGCGTGCGACCGTCTACACTGCTGTAGGGAAAGGCTCAAGAGTTATCTGAACTACGCAGCCGCCGGCATGGAGAGTTGTATGACATCCACCCAGGCCTGGCTCCGCTCTGAGCTGTAGGTGCTGAGCTGCACTAGATTCGTTGTGGAATGAGGCCTTAGGGGCTAGTTTTGTGAAGCCTTGAATGGAGCTGTTTGAAGAGATATTCAGAGTCCTTGTGGAACTGAGAAACTATAACCAAGCCAGAGCAGGGAAAAGGCAAAAGCTGGAGGGAAAGGAAATACCATGATCAATAAAAAGCATAAATGAGAGGGTGGTTTGGGTTCAGGTGGATCAGCGACCTGAATATTCTGTAAATTCTCAGGTGGAAGACAGACGTGAGTTAGGCCAAAAGTGTCCAGGTAAACACAGACAACGGCACAGCGAAGAAACGTCTGGCAAAAATTGCACAGGAGGCCTGAGGGGAAAGATGCAGACAACAGGGACAAGGCAAGCTTTGCGAGCACACTGCCTAGAACAGGGTCAGGTTGAAGCCGGCCTTTGACCTTTGTCTGGGAACTGCCCACGCGGGTACACATGAATCTGTACAATGCAACTCATGACGGTTAACTCCAGTTCCAGGGGATCCTGAGCCCTTTTCTGGCCTCTGCAGACACCAGGTATACATACAGTACACATACACACATGTACCAAAACACACACATAAAATAAAAACAATTTAATTATTTTTTTAAATCGCCTAAACAGAGAGTAGAGCAGGAAATGAGGAACAGAAGTATTAGCACAAAGCAGCATTATCAACAGCAGTGACGTCCTCAAGAGCAGCAATTACAATAAATGTAAACGGATTGAGTGTCGATCTAAAGAGAAGAGATTTGGGCCAGTGAAATTGCTCTGCAAGTAAAAGTGTCTGCTATTGATCCCAGGAACCCACACGGTGGAAAGAACTGGCAATTAAAATTTAAAGTTGTCCTCCAATTTCTACATGTAAGCCATGTTACAGGTATGTGTTTTACACACACACACACACACACACACAAATTATTTAAATAAATATAAATAGATAGATGTAATTTTGAAAATTTAAAGATAGAGCCTGGCCAAGTAATTAAAAAAAACACAGTCATACGCTGTCTGCATAAAACATTTTCGATCCAAACAGATTGAAAGCGAAAGGACCACCCGTGTGGAAAGAATATAAGGTAGTAACTATGATATCAGAGAATAGAATTTAAACCAATGTGTTACAAAAGGGAAGGGACCAATACAGGAGGGTGCTATGACGTAATAGACCACTAACATGCATGAAGCGGACAGCTCCACAATGGCGGAGACTGACACCCTCTCTCACTAAAGGGCAGAACAACCAGATACGGAAGATAAGGAAGAACTCCTTATCTCTGTGGGCGTGCACAGGGCACCGCCAGCCACAGTGGCACCTAGGCTCCTCTCCGGTGCAGATGTAACATGTCCAAGACAGGCACATGTCAGGCCACTAAAAGCCTCAACATATATAACATATACTCTCCAACCACTTTGAGATCAAGTTAGACATTAAAAACAAATGGGAATACTTACGAATTTGTGAAGTTAGACTTCACACCCTTAAACAGCCATTTTAGGACACAAGAATCGAGAAAGACACGAAAAAAATATGTAGAAACGATAAAAATCAGAATGCTACACACACACACCAAGAAAAAACAACAACAACAAAACCCAGAAAACCTGGTGGGGCAATTTTTAAAAAAAAATCATTGAAAGGGGATGTGGTTACAAACATTTTATTAACAGACAGTGGTCACAGATGAACAACCCACTGTGCATACAGAATTAGGAAAAAGAAAAAAAGGAAAAACCAAAACAACAACAACAAACCTATACCAGAGCAAACAGAAGGGGAAAAATAAGGGAGAACAAAACAAAGCAAAGATTAGGAACACATCTGAGGGAAATCAATGGAACCAAAGCCAGCTCTTTGGAAAGATCAACAAAACCCATGGACCTTGTGAAGCAGACCCAGAAAAGAAAGTGACTCGTGGCGAAGGTCAGGAGAGTAGGGCCATCACTAAACTGTGGGTAGAACGGGCTGTGAGAGATCATGGCAAAACCAAAACCAAGGGGGCAAATTCCTAGACATACAAAAGCTACCAGACTGAGCCATGAGGAAACTCGATGTTTGGACAGACCCACAGCTAGGCAGGAGACTGGAAGAATAATTTTTAAAAATCTCCAACAAAAGCCCTGCCTGGGCCCAAGGGTGTTGCTTTTGAGAAGTCTGTAAAACATTCAAAGAAATAACATCAATTCTTCTAAACTTATCCCAAAATACTGATGAGAGAAAACTTTCTATCTCATTCTAGGAAATGGGTATTACTCCAATTCCATAGCCAGGCAAAGATGCTAAGAACAACAACAACAACAACAAAAAATCTACAGGCCAGTAATCCCAATGAAGAGTGTCTCAAAAACTCTCACCAAAATTACCAGCATGTTTTTCAGTATGTTGAAAGACCCATGCATGCCAGTTAAGTGTGTGTATTCCTGAGATTCAGGGGCAGTCTGCACAGGAGCTCCATCAGTGCAATCACGCTGCATGAATGCAGAAATAACCAACACCTCAGCAGATGCAGGACAAGCACTGGCCAAGCTGCAGCACCGTTCCCCTCTGAAAACACTAGAGATCTCAGCAGCAGATAAGCCACATGTGAAAAGCCCACAACAAGCACCACGTGCAGGCTGGGTGATGTAGCTCAGTTGGTAGAGCACTGGCCTAGACTGCATGGGGCCTTGGGTTCAATTCCCAAGTGGACAAAGTAGTACATCCCTAAAATTGCAGAATTCCTCAGGTGAGCACTGGAGAACAGGAACCCAAAGTCATCCTTGGCTACGTGGTAAATGTGATGTCAGTCTGAGCTACATGAGTCCCTGACTCAAAAAGATAGAAACCTTGTCTATAGGAAGCAAGAGCAAGGCAAGCTATCTTCTTAGCCATTGTTCAAGCTTTGTGTATGGTGTGATGTGTGTGTATATTGGTGCATGTGTGTGAGAGAGAGAGGGAGAAGAGGAGGAGGAGGAGGAACAGCAAAGGCGGGGCAGGTTGGAAAGAAAGAACAAGGTTATCAGTACAACCTTGATTAAGCACCCAAAGACTCTACAAGCTTCTTAGGACTATAAGCAGTCTGTGCAGAAATGAAACTACTCTAAAGAGACCCTTGTGTCTCTCAATATGTCGGACTGTTGATACAAATGGTCCCAAAGAAATGGGAATTTTCCTCCAGGAATTCCACACCGGGAGAAGGAAAGGCACCTGCCAAAGGGGGGATTTGTCTCCTGGAAAAGAGATTTTATAAGGTCCTCACATCTTGTCAGACCACCTTCCAGGATGAGATAGAAGCCAGCATACATCCCAGAGGGACCAGTGATTGGAAGGACCACATCTTGACTGGGGCTGCTTAGATGTGTACTTCCTTGGCTCTCTGTTAAACTTTGATCTCGCATCAGGACCTGAAGACAGACTTATGAGGTCTGCTGGATCCCCTCCTCCTCCTTCTTCCCAATGTGGCCACTGAATAAATCTCCCTTTTATGCTTTCCATTTTTAATTTGGCTCTTTTAATTGCTTTTTGAGGATGGGTGCCCAGACCTGAATTGGGGCACAGGCTGTGACCTCCAATTTTGATAACAGAACAAAGGGACACCCCTGCTAACAGAGAAATCATTATGTTCATCCACAGCAACAAGCCGTCTGAAAATTCCACAACACAGTAACACCGAGCAGAATAAAATGCTTAGGACCTGACTTAGCCAAGAAGGGGAAAGTCTTGTGCAGTGAAAATCACAAAAGATTGCCGAAAGACATTAAAGGCAGATAAATGAAACACCGCCCCCGCTCACGGTTCTGCTGAAGCAAACCAAGATTAAGCAACTTGTACATAACAGAAACAAATTTCTCACGGCACTGGATGCCAGGCCCAAGGCATTTTAAGACCTAGCCTATGTTTCCAATATGGCACCACCTCACTGTGTCCTCAGGAGGGGACAAAAGGCTGTGTCCTTGCACAGACAAAGTAAAGAACAGAGGGTAGTACACACACACACACCATCTCCTTTCACGGGGGGTGTTAAGCTCATTCAGGAGCCCAAACTCCACAGTCACCTCTCCATGGCCACACCCCTCAACGGCATTCTGGCGAGACACATTCAAACTACAGTCGGCGTAAAAGCCATCTGAGGTGACCTATATATTCTAAGCAATCCTTATCAAAATCCCAGTGATAGTTTTGGTTCTTGGCACCACTGGGGACTGAACCCAGGATGTTGCCCATGTGGGGAAATGCTCTACCACAAAACTCAGGCTTCCCAATGATAGCTTTTACAAAACATGAAAAACCCATCCTGAAACTCAAAACTGAAAAACCCAAATCTCAAGGATAGAGGAGGTGGGCTCGCTTGTTCATCCCTCCCTCCTGGCTAGCTTAGATCTGAAATAATTACACAGAAACTGTCTAAATTAAATCATTGGTTGGCCATAAACTCTAGCTTCTTATTGGCTAACTCTTACATCTTAATTTAACCCATCTCCATTAATCTGTACATCACCATGAGGTCGTGGCCTACCAGCAAAGTTTCAGCATGTCTATCTCTGGTGGCGGCTCCTTGGCATCCTCTGACTCTGCCTTCTTCCTCCTAAGTTCTGCCCTGCTATAGGTCCAAAGCAGTTTATTTATTCATTAACCAATAAAAGCAACACATAGACAGAAGGACCTCCCACACCAACGCACTCTTGACAAGAGTAAAGTTGGTGGACTCACAATCTCTGGTTTTAAAACTTCCTCCAAACTACAGTCACCAACACTGTCTCTCCTGCATAAGACAGATATGTGAACCCAGTAGTGTTGCATAGCTGGAATATCCTGTAACCACCACTAGAAAGGCCCAAGCAGGATCTCCTAAGCTATACTAGACTCTTTCTCAAGAAAAAAGACAGACAAACCCACAGCACAATGAGATAGTATCAGCACCCAGAAATCACAAATACGACCAGATGATTATTTGCTCCAAAGCTATAGGCTTTAATGTTGGCAGGTCCTTCTCACACTATGACAGTTTAAGCATACATTCATACACACACACGCGTGCGCACTTGTACACAACACACAGTTGGTTTTCAAATGGATGGAAAGCTATTCTCAATCCCAAAGCCCATACCTTTTCTACCATCAGGGCTGCACCCACTTTGCCATTGCCCACAGCATCCTGGCTGAATAGCATCTTCACTGTGTAGCATCCTGGCTGTGTACCATCCTGGCTATATAGCATCCTCACTGTACAGCATCCTGGCTGTATAGCATCCTGACTGTACAGCATCCTGGCTGTATAGCATCCTGACTGTATAGCATCCTGGTTATATACCATCCTGTCTGTATGGCTTACACATGCTGCAGCTCACACACGGCAGCCTGGAGCCTCCAGACTGGATAAAAAGGAAAAGGCAACTTGAGCTCTCTGCTTCCCTGATGGTGGTGCAACTCCTGCTGCCTCTCCCTCCTGTTGCCACACTTCCCCAGCCAGGTGAACTGCACCCTCAAACCGTGAGCCTAAATAGACTCTTCCTCCCCTGAGGTGCTTCTGACAGGTGTATTGCCTTAGCAACGTGAGTGGTAACTAGTGTAACATTTGATACCCAGCATGCAGGAGAGCATTTCAGACTTGACAACAGAGGAAGCCGAGTCAAAACAGAGCCAAGGACTAGAACACACATTCTCCCCAAAGGCAGATACATGGATAGCAGGGCTTGGGTGGGTTTAGTGTTTAAGAGAGATGGAGTTCCAGCTTGGGGATACGGGCGCTCTGGAGATGGGCGGCTGGTGGTGATAGCACTCTCCTCTATATGGAGCAGTGGTCGTGCCATGTGCTTTATGGTAAGTACATTTTATCATCATAAAAAGATGTGAAAGCAGTGACTTCCCCAAGGCAGGAGGATAGACGGATTATCTGCCAATGGAAAGGATGGTATCAAGGAGCCAGTCTTTGGGCTCACTTGGAGACTCTGCTGTGTCCTGAGGTGAGGCGTGCAGAGGCCGCGCTCCCATTCCTCCTCAAGTATCTTCTGCCAAAGCTGAATCACGACACACACCGTCCCCACCTGCCTGAGCTGCTGCAGTGGGACCAGGCCCTCTGGGCTGGATCCCATCTCAGCTGTCCCCATCGGGAAGCAAGTGTTGTGGTCTGAATGAAAAATGTCCCCCAAAGGCTCCTGTGTTAAGGCATGGCCCCCACATGGTGCTGCTTCTGGGAGGTGACTAGGTCATGAAGGGAGTCACTTCTTGTGGTTGGTTAACCCAGGAATGGGCGGTTAAAGATAGAGCCCGGAAGAAAGGTTTGTGTTGGTCTGTCTCTGAAGGCCACTCTGTCCCTGGTCCCTTGCTTTTACTGTTCCTAGATAGAGTGAGCAGTTTTGTTTTGCCATGCCCTTGATTGGGCCTCACCACAGACCATAAGTAATGCAGCCAGACACATACGGGCCATGAGCCAAAGCAACTCTTTCTTCCCTTAAGCTTTTAACAGGTAAACACCACGGTGACAGAAAGCCACCACCATAGGTAAGCCCTGTAGACAAAGACGCCAACACCTCGATGTTGACAGCGTGACTAAGAAAATGCAGGAGAAAGAGATGACCCACAGACTGGAAGTCTGTCAGCCAAACAGCACGGGAGGAAAGGATAAATCTCCAGAGCTGGTGCAGAATTCACACAGCTCAACATAAAAGCAAGCGACTGGACTTTAAAATGGACAAAAGACCCAGGCAGACACTTCTCCAAGAAGAACCGAGTGGTCTACACTTGCTCCAGGTCACAGGTCACCAGAGCCACAGACAAAATCCACAACAGAACACCACCACACAACTGTTAGCAAGAAGCAACAGGTGGTGGAGAGAAAGGAGGAACCCTTTCCACTGCTGCCGGGAGTGGAATCTAGGTCAGTCACCAGGGGAGACTCTCTCTCTCTCTCTCTCTCTCTCTCTCTCACTCACACACACACACACACACACACACACACACACACACACACACACACAATAGAGCCACTGTGATCTCTAGCATCCAAAGGGACTGAGGCCAGGCTGTGGAAGACACACCCATATCCCAGTTTTACTGTAGCCCTCGGTAGTCACAGCAACCATGATACAGAACCCACAGGGGTGTTCATGGACAAGAGAATGAGAAGGTGCTGTGCTCACACACAACACTGAACATGAAGGAATCCCATCCTGTGTCAACATAGAGACACCCGGTGAGCACTGTGCTAAATGAAGCAATCTGGTCACAGAACAAACACCATGTAATCTCCCAGATGGACTCTCACCACCTAAAGACGTTGAACCCAAGTGTGGCTTTCCGGCTGGTGGTGTAGAAACAGGGAGACATTAGTCCAAGGCAAAGAAGGAGCTCCAGTCTGGCAGTTGGGCAAGTTCTGCAGACCTGGTGTGTAGTGGGTGACTACAGAGGACAGTTTATACCATGTGCAGAGACTTAGAGAGGGCTGGCGTGTGGTTCAGAGACCCTGCCTGACATGTGTGAGGCCCTAGGTTCAATCCCCAGTACCACACACACACACACACACACACACACACACACACACACACACACCTGCTCAGAGAGAACAGATTTTAAATGTAACCCTTACAGGTGATGGATATGCCAAACAATTCAGTGGTCACTGTTTCATATCTGCATATAAAGTCTTTGCACTGCACACTTTAATCCTTGGATGTTCATCAGGTCCAGGAGGTTCTCCAGGCTCCTGCCCTTCTATGGCTGCAGCTCACCCGGGTCCTAAGCCTGGAGAGCCCCAAGCTGCACAGGAATCTGGGAGGAAGCGAGGTCTGTGAATAGCTCAGCTCGCACCATACACACAGTATTTATCTGCAGGTTGCCAGGAGTGAGAGATAAGCATTCAGGTATTTTTCCACGGAGGGGTCTTGTCTTCTTGGATCAAAGTTAAACAGAAACCCGAGTTAACTGAAGCGTCCTAAAGATCAGCAGCCTTTCGAAGACTCACATTTGATTAAGGAGCCAGATAAAAGCCAAGGTGAGAATAGCTGGGAGCCCATGGGGTCCTGGGTGGAAGGAGCACCCGGGGCATCTGCGAACTTTCAGAGTGATAAACCCCGCATAGCCCCCCACAACATACTCCCACCGCTTTCCAAATGCTCCACGACCTGCCAGCATGGTCCATGAAGACCAGAGGTTCAGTCACACTGGGTGATTCTTAGTTGCACCTAGTATGTCTGCAAGCCTGTTGCAAGTACAGGATTTGAACCCCCGCCCCCAGACCTTGCTTTCTCCCAAGAGCTTTTCAGGCTCCCTGGGAAATTCTACCTGTCTCTGTTGTCATTCACAGGGTAGACACGGAGGGGTGAGGGTGAGGTCAAATGCCTGGGTCCATGTAGCCCCTGACTCAAGTTCTGCATCATTCCCAGACCCCACTCAGCCAAAGGGTTTCCTGGAGGTGGCAGCGGACCCAAGAGTAGCCCTACTCATAGGCGGCTGGAGGTCAGTACTAGTGGAAGCAGGGGCGAGGACCCTGGGTGCTATACTCCTGCACATCCCTCATTCTCTCCCCACATATACCCAAAGGACAAGCTGATATACCTAGGACCCTTCCCAGGGGCCCAGCTGCATGCTGACCAGCAGATCTGGCCATGTAGAGGAGCTCCCGTGGGGTCACCCTAACTCCCAGCTATCACCTCACATACCAGCTGAATGCTGTCATGTTTCCACTGATACCCTCCTGGTCTCCCTCAGGGGTCAGAGGAAAAGACGTGGGTGTGGAGCTACAAGCTTGGCTAGACAAGCGAGCACAGAGGCCCCAGGATGCTAGACAGAGCCAGGTGTGCAAGGCGAGGTGTGTAGACGCAGACGGCCAGGCCTGCTGCACCAGGCGTATATAGGTAGGTGGTTAGGTATTTTTCCATAGAAACACCTTGTCTCTTCAGATCAAAGTTAAACAGAAACTCAAGTTAACTGACGTCAAGTGTGTAAGTCTGGGCGCATGGGGTTGCTGAAGTGTGAGTACAAGGCCAGGTGTGCAAGGCCAGGGGCTTAGAGTGAGCAGAGGGTCAGGCTACACCCACTGGCCTGGGAGGGGAATGGGGCAGGGCCCACATTATAGTGGGAAAGCCCCACCATGGATCTGGTCAGACCCTGAGGAGGAAGTGCATGCTCCCTGGTAGGAACTCATTATTCCCAATCCCCTTGCCCCCTGGTGTAGTCAAGGACTGTCCCTGCCCCAGCACCTCCCACTCTACAAGCTCACAGATGCCACTAAGGGGTTAGAGAAACACTGTGGGGGAGGGGTGAAATCTTCGTCCTTGTCTTTCTTTCTGGTGTCCTTTTCCATGCTGGGGTAGGAGTGATCAGCCTGCCACAGAAGCCCAGCAGGAGTGGGGCTCCTCTGGAGCGGAGGAGCCCGGGAAAGAGAAGCTGAGAGGCCAGAGGAGTTAAGGACTCTCCTACTCTGAACCCTGAGTTTCCATGGACGTCTCTCCCACCCACCTTGCCTGGAAAGGGGCCTTTGCTCAATGAGGCTTGGCACCCAGATGTGGCCTACAGGGATGGGGAGCATGAGTGCTGATGGACCAGTCCCCAGGACCTTGCTGGGGATGCAGCCCAAAGTGTCCAGATGTTTAGCCCCTGGCTGACCAGGCAGCCGCAGTTAAAGACATCAGTGTCTCATGAAGCTCCACTATAAGGACCTCATGTGCCAGCTCTGACCCTGCACCCCATGTGGCTGAGCCCTCACCCAAAGGAGGCGTGGCCTTCCTTCCAGCACCTAACAGGACCTATGCCTTTATAGCCTCTGGCTGCCCCTGAAACAGACACATGGCCAGGCCCTCCTAACCCTGGCTAGCAGCCCACATGATTCCCCATCATCTTGCGTGGCCCCAACAGAAGATGAGGTAGGTTGTTCTCCTGTCAAGACACATCCCCGTGGAGCTGACCGCGCAGGATGGGCTCTGCCAGCTGTGGCCAGGTGCGGGCCTCCTCCGGGAGGCGGCCCGACCCAGTCCACGTTCAGCTATTTCAAGGGTGGAATGTGTGTGGGATTCATTGTGACACCAGCCCCACCCTCTCAGGTCCAGCTGTGGCCCCTAATGAAGCCTTGAGCATCCCCTGGGCTTCTGCACAGCCCAGGTCCTTCCTGGAACGGGGCCACACATCCAGCTCCTCTGCCTGTAGCCTGTCACTCACCCTCTGAATGCATCTTCTCAGCCAGAGTCCTGTTCATCCCCTGGGAGGCGACCCCAGGGCTACAGGCTCAGATTTTACCCAGCTGTGTCACGATAAGTCCCCCACACACCTGTTCCTCCATTGCAGTTCCTCGTGTGCCTCTTTCCTGGGAATGAGTACTATCTATCTAGGGCTTGACCCTGCCCTACCTGTAGCCCCTTACTTGCTATACCAGGCTCTGAGCCAGCAACTTGCCAGGAACCATCCAAGTTCACCCTGCTGGCATCCAACAAGATGATTCCCGGCAGAGTCCCAGGGAACCCTCGTGGCTGCATGCCTACAAACCGACAGCAGACACCCCTTTGAGCCCAGCCTAGCCTCCCAGCTCCTGAGCACATTGGCTAGAGGGCAAGGCCGCTTCCCCTCCCGCAGAGGACAGATGTCATGCCCTGCAGGCTGGCCAAGGCCTCCCAATGCAAACAGTAGCTGGGGAGTCAGGAGCACAGCTTGGGAGCACTATCTAGAGGCCTGGTCCCTGAGCAGACACAAAAGGAAGCTACCTGGGACCTGGTCCATCTGTCCCTGCCCTGCCTTGATCCTGGGAATTTCTGAAGAATGGCCCCCTCCTCTTTTCTACCCATCACATAGCATTGTATGGCAGAGCTTCAGGTCTTGGCTGGGCAGAAGCACGTGGGTTGTATAGGAGGCCGGGGCCTATGGTCTCCTTGTGTGGCTGGCATTTTTCAGCCCTTTGACTAGGCTGGCTGGGGCTACAGGGAGAGCTTCAGAGAGCGTGGCTCAGAGGCTAGGAACAAGGACGGAACAGCTGGAATTCAGTAGGAGTCAAAGCTCCTCCACCACACTATTGCTTTGGTTCTCCATTTCCAGCCTGTGACCGAGTCAGCACCTGGCTAACTCTGCGAGGACTGTCTCTCTGTCTCAGGTGATGACCTGTCTGTCACTCTTGCTGCAGACATAGAACCTGTGGGCATAGCCACACCCAGACCCCAGCCTCCTCCCCTTCACAGAATCCCATACCCCAGCACCTCTCCAGTGCCATCACCAGGCTCGGTGAGGCAGGGGCGGGGATCCTATGTCAAGCTTTTCATCAGCCCTGGCTGAGCTCTTTTGACAAAGCCAAAAGGAAAGGGGGGGGGGGATGGTGGCCACTTGGTTACCTGCAGCTGGCCCAATGAACACACAGTACCCATCCTCCTGAGAAGGGAGCGAGGCACATTTGACAGGCAGCCTGCCCTCATCTAGGTGCTTCCAGCATCCATCCTCCAGGACCTCACAGAACTGACGGCAAGGTGGCAGGGCAGGTGGTGGGCCTGGGCCACACGAGGGAGCCAGCAGCAGACAGAAGAACCAGGCAAGGAAGGGATGGCAGTTTGTCTGGAGGAGGTGTCCCCATGCCTGTGCAGTGGCCTCCACCTCCTCACTGTTTTTGTGGTCTAGATGATTAGGCAGCCAGAAGTGTCCAATACCTAAGTGGCTGCAGATGGTCAAAGTGGGTGGCAGAGGCAGGCATCGGCTGGTAGGGGTCAGAGAGCCAGTTCCCAGCACTGCAGAGTCATTGGAAAGCTCAGAACCTGAAGAGGTAGCCACGTGGGAAACCCAAGCACCAGGGAGCCCAGGTAAAGCTGCTACTGGAGAGAGCTGGGCTGAGGGGTCAGAGGAAGGGACAGAAAGTAAACCGTGCACACTGAGAGAAGCCGTCACCAGGGGACCTGTCACCAGGGGAAGCAGAAGAGGTATGTGCCCGTGGATGTCAGAGTGGACATCAGAGTGTTGGTGCTGCTGGCTGGGCCTGGATGCCACAGGCAAGAGTCTGTTCCCCTCCAGATGCCGGGGCTGCCTTGGGGGCTTCTGGCTCCCCCAGGGATGAGCCCTGATTCGTGTAGGAGAGAGAAAAGCTCTACCTGGGGGTGCTGGTGGCCCTGGGGGTCTTCTCAGTGGTGCCTGGAGGCTATTCAGGGAGGGAGGTGGCTGGGTGGGCACAGCCAGGGTGCCGGCCTCAGTTGTCTGAACATCTGGAGAACTTGGAACACCTCCACTTTGCCAGAGAGTGATCTCACCCTCCTGGGGGGCGCTGGAAAACTCGGTAGAAGTGAGGAGGACCGTAGGGATCGTGGAAGCCGAGGTTTCTGTCCCAGCAGAGTTCTCGGTAGCCGTGTCCTCATCCCACAGCTGAACGAAGCTCCGGATGCCCTGGGCCACATTCAGAATCTTGGCTCCAACGCCGGCAACATTCTCCTCCTTCATGTCTGGGCTCGCGGCGGCAGAGGCCGTCGGGGGAATGGGGAGGGCAGGAGCTGTAGGGGTCCCATTCTGGCCAGCTTCCCGATCCTCCAGGGGTAGCCTGGGGTCGGCAGGAGTCGTCTGCTGATCTGTAAGGCCATCCTGGGGGACCACGTGCGTGGTGGGGCTCCCTGTGGACTGCACAGGTGAACTGATCTGGGACTTGGAGACCGGATGGTCGGTCTTGGTGGGCCACAGCCAAGCCAGAGGCCTGAGGGGATTCAAGGGATTCAGGGGATTGTTGTCAGGCCTGGCAGGCTCAGGGCAGCAGTAGAGCAGCAACAGCAGCAGCCAGAGGCGTCTGCTGGGGTCGGGAGCCATCAGAGCAGTGCAAGCCTCTGAGCTGGGGCGGCTCCTGTGGTCCTGGAGGTGGGGCCTGCCAGGTCCCCACCCTCCCCCACGCAGGCTTCCCAGTCTCACTCCTCTGCCACTTCCCTCTGGCAGAAGGGAAGGAACCCAGCCTGAGAATCAAGGTGACCCACCAACTGGTACCTTCAGATTCCATTTAACTCCTTCCTTTCTGCACCTCCAGGAGCAGCCACGGAGCTGAAAGGCAGTCAAGGGACACCCGGTGGAACTCCAGTTTATACCACTTAGAGCGGCTGAGTTTTCTGCTGAGAGTGTGGGTGTGGGTGTGGGGGGCCTGGCCAGGGTCCTTGGGGACACGGAGGCCGCGCCCCAGCTCCTACTGCCTGCATTGGAGAACACCCGGAAGTCCTGGCAGCTGGCCACCATTCTGTGATGAAATGGAGTTGGAAGAATGCTCAGCTTGCTGTTACAGCTGTTGCTTCAGAGACAGGGTGGGTGTCTGTTCCTTCCCTCACCCCCTCCCCACTCCCAGCCCCCCAGTTAACCTGCTCAAACCCTAAATCCATCAATTTAGCCATCAATTCCTGTCCCTTGGATGCCAAGAGTCCCCACTGGGGCCTTGATGGGCATATTACTTCTTTCTCTATTCTTAAATTCTCTCACGTGACCTGCCCTGTTTTCATTGGTGTCTCTAGGTCCTTGCAAGTGTTTCAGAACTAACTCTTCTCTTGGGAGTTGCTTCCAATTGACCGACTGGAGCAGCAGTTAAGCCTCAAGAAGAAGGTAAAGGAAAATGTATGGGGTTCATCCAAGGGATATGCTGTCAATGGTGGGCTTCTGCCTCCTGTCCTACTGAGTCCAGCTCTGTGTAGAGGGCATGGCATCGCTTAGTGGCCTGTGGGGACATTCTAATCACCCCAAGTCCTTCAAAGTGAGGCTGAGGAGAGAGTCCTGCCCAGAGCCTCAGTGGAGTCCAGGGGCTAAAACAGAGCTAGGGGCCAAGTTCTTGTGCCTTGGGGCGCCACCATTATCGGGCATCCCCTCAGGCCATGTTCCGGGAGAGACAGTCAGGACACTGAGGTTGCTCTAGCATAGCTCAGGTGCACACTTCTCCAGGTCAGTCCGCAGCTCTGTGCTTTGTGTGCTGAATAAACCAGGAGCTGGAGGCGGCTTGTCAATCCCGCAGTTTGCTCTGGTCCCATGAGAAGTGGGACGGGACCAGGACCGCTCACGGCATCCATGCTCCTTACTCTACTGCATTTACCTATCTTGGGTGCAGCTGGGGTACGTGTTTCATCCATTTCAATCATGATGGGAGCGAGGCAGAGAGCTGTGCCCTGCGGGGTCCTGGAAGCAGGACCATGGAATGTGGGGGCTTGTGGGGCATTCTGTCTCCTTGGCTTCATTTCTGTGGATGTTGGGTCTGATGGGATGGGCTTGGCCTCTCTAGGATGTCGTAGGTACCCCATATCTATCTGGACCCTTCCAACCAGAGCAGCACCTAGGACCTCCAGCCCAGGAAAGGTCTGCATTTATGCGAGAATATTTCTCCTTCCCATCTCTGCACCAAGTCCAAGCCAGTATGGATCCCAGCTATCCTGGGACAGCAGGGACAGCTGCTCAGGCTTCCTCCAGGCCCTCAGTGTCCCTGCAGGATGCTAAATGAGTGACTCCAAGGGATGGCATGGTGCCTGGAGCCTGTGCCCTAAGGGAGGTGGAGGGCAGTCTCAGGACCAGGAGGAGCCTGGAGGCAGGAAGTAGCCCTCAGGGAAGTCCCCTCAGTAGATGGGAAGGAACTGGACCAAAAGGAACAGGTTAGCTACAGAAGAGGAGGGGCAGGAACTCGGTCCAAGCAGATACCTGAGAATGAGAGGCCAAAACATCACCATAAAAACAGGTGCCCGACAGCCAGCAGGCAGGAAGGTGGCAAGGATCACCCTGAGATGAACACTGGAAAGTAGCCGGTGCCAAGGATGGCCACCCTTAGTCCCATACAGAAGGGCTCACCAGAGGGGACAGAGCTCAGCCACTCTCTCCCCAGCACTGGCTTCACCTCATTCATCCCTTCCCTGCCCTCGGCCTGGGGTTCCCAGCAATAATTCAAAGTGGGACCGGACCCCACTCCAGCGCTGCTTCCAGCTGTCACTCAAGAGATTCTGTGGCTTCCTTCCTCAGTTTCCCCAGTAACGAAAGAATCTAGATGGACAGAAATGTCTTTCCATCCATACTCCACGAAGCTAGCAATCCTAGAGAAGGCAGTACAAGCGTGGCCCCAGCAGAATCCCCACACCAGCCAGACACATGCTAGTGCCCTGTAAGAGCCCATTCAGCGGAGTGAAGAAATAGAGACACAGAGGCCATGGGCCTGGCTCAAGAGCCCAGAACTTTAAGAGTGAAGAAATGACACCTGGCAGCCTGGACATGAACAAAAACACACACAACCACTCTCGTGTAATGACATGCCATAGCTTGACCACAGGGTCTACATAATGTGGCTTCTCTAACCTCAGCCAGCCGCCCCTTCCTGGAACCTACTGTCTCTACACTGTCTCCAGTTACTGCCACCCTCCCCCAAGGTTGAGTGCAGTGGCAATGGTGCCCTGTGATGAAACAGCCCCAAGGCATGTCCCCAACTGTCCTCTCATCAAATGTGGGGAGTCATCGATCAATGGCTGTTTAAAGGGCAGGGCTGTTGTTTGGATCAGAATTCAGCTGCAAACAGCTGGAGACCAAGTCCCTCTCTGGCAGTCGGGCAGTCATGTGCACACATCTGTGCCCCTGCTTTCTACGTCTCCAAGTTAATCCCCCACGACGCTCACATCTGTTGTAGACGTGCCCAGTGAACAGTCTGCTTGAAAATTCCCTAATGTGATTTCATGCCTCCAAGTGTCGCTGGAAAATCCCAGGACAGAGTCCAGAACCCTTCGCCTACATGTGCGGGGAGAGGGGACTCAGCCCCACGGCAGGGAAGAGGGAAGAGGACCCTAAACTCAAGTCATGTCCTCATCCCCTGTCTCACTCAAATGGTTATTCCTCGAACCTCTTGCCTGGCAGGCTGGCTGTGCACCCAGGGACTCAGCAAGAAATTCCCAGGCAAAGCCAGGAGCCAGGAGTGGAAGCAATGAAATGGCAGCAGCTCCTATTTCAAAGGACGTGTGTAGGAGGGCAGAGGCCCTCTGGCCCTGAGTGGCCACTGTGCCCAGCACTCACTCATGCTTAGCATTCCCTGACCTTGCTGCTCATTTCAGAAACATAAAATATTCAGCAATTCCCTCACAAGCACCATGGATGGATCCATAGCTCAGGCCCAAGCTTTGGCTTCCATCAGGAGTCTTGTGCAATCCATACATATGCACATGTGCACACACCTACGGACACACATTCCCACACAGGTGTACTTACACACACACACACACACACACACACACGTACATGCCTATTCAATACACTCAAACACACATGCTCATGCTCACACAGTCACACATACACACATGCTCATAAAAACACGTGTATTCAGGGAGCCAAGGTCCGAGCCTACCAGAGGTTGTCGTCTCTGTCCCACCCAGCCCCACCCAGTCCTTTGTAAAGGGTCCCATCTGGTATCACTCTGTGTACCCACGGGAGACCAGGTCAGGGTTTCAAATGCCATATCACCCTTTTGGGAGAGAAGACAGAAACTGAGGAGCTGGGAGCAGCACCAAGCTACTTCCCTGCCACTGCCTGGTCAAGGGAGACCTCAGGCCCTTTGGAGAGGGACCGCATAGTGTCATGCAAGATGGCAGGATCTGTGAGAGGCATGAAGACTGCCTGGCCCAGATGATAGCAGCCACAAGGCCAGGGAGAGAACCCAAGCTAAAGAGAAAGAGATCCCTACACCCAAGGAAAGGTAGAGGGGGCACTGTCTAAGGTTAAGAACCTGGTGAGGAGGGGAGAGGCCCAGGCTGGAGTCCCTGCCCATCTGACTCAGGTTCATTCCCTGGCAGGTGCAGGTTGAAGGCTGAACATGGGGGCTGGGGAGGGGGGCTGTGGCCCTGGAGCAAACATCTGAGTTCTTGAGGAACTAACTCATCACAAGCTCAGTCACACTGCCCCCCCCCCCGCCCCAGGCAGCCACTGAGAGTACTGCCCATCAGCCCCCACTCCAGCTCCTAGAGAACAGGAAGAATTGATCAGAAACCTGGGGATCAACACACAGTGTCCCCCAGGAAAGCAAAGCCTCAGAAGCAGGCCTCCCGCACATTCCAGATTCCCAACCCTCGGCCTGCAGCTCCCTTTCTTCTTTCCGGAAGCTGTGAGAACAACTTTCCTAGAAGCCCACGTCCACTGGCAACCCATGACTTAAGGAAAAGCCTGAGGCCTTCTTGGACCACACCTGAGTCTGCCCTTGGGCTGGCTCTCCTGCTGTTGCCTGTCACCTTGTGAGGAAACACGCCACTTCTATCCCTAGGCACCCGTGCCTGACTTGTTTGACATAGCTCAGGTAGTCTGTCAAGCCTAACCATCCCGGAAGCCATAGCTGAGGCTCCTCTTCGCAGAGCTACTATAGTGTGGAACCTGGAAAACAAGCCATTCCACGGGACCACACTTGTTCTGACCTCTAGAGAGCCATGTTCTGTCCAGCTCGCTTATGAGGCAACCGAGCAGCCAACATAGCGCGGAGGACTTCCTGAGACAGAGGGCCTATGTGGCCTCCAGGACTGGTGCAAGCTTCCCTACAACAGCCGACAGTCAATGCTAGTCCTCCCTTGGCCCTTGGCGACTACAGTCACATGTGACTCCTCCTGCCAACAGGGCTCAAGAGTTGGTCAAAGGGGACAGTAGCAAAACTCTGGGGAACAGTCACCTCTAGCGAACCTAGAAGCACTTGGGAGGACAAATGAGTTTATCTCCGTTTCAGAATCAAGGTACCAAGATAGGAGCGGTCCCTCACCCTTGCCTGCCAAGGTCCTTGGGTGTGCCACAGCAAGTTCTTGCCATGCAAGAAGCCACTCCCTCTGCACCATCAGTGCCAGCTCTGGAATGACAGGGACACGAGGGTTCTTGGGAACTCGAGAGCTACCAAATCGGGAACCTAAAGGCACCATTTCAGCTGTGTTTCAAACCGGCAAATTCCCCCGCCAACACCAGGAGCCCAGACTGCTACTCTGCTACTTCCTACTTGCAAACCCCCTGGTCCTCCTGTGTGCCATGGGGCATCCCTCTAGCTCAGCTAAACACAGCCTCTACACTCCCAGCAAACACCAAATCTTCAATAGGACAGGGTCACTTTGCCTTGGGGACCACACCCTCCTCCCGTCACCATGGGGACAAGGGGGACAAGCACCCATCTGAAAGGAGTCATTAGCTCTGTGTGTATCATTCCTCCCAGCACTCAGTCCCTTCCAGAAGGTTCCACCCTCTCGCTGCAGCAGCAAGACGCACCCCTGCCCCAAGCAAGGGTTTGTTCTGTCTTGTTGGCCCGTCTGGTCTGGTTTGGATTCCTGAATAATGTAGTCTTTTATTTTCATTAAAAACTCCAGGACACCCACATTTGAGCAGGAACCGGCTCTTAGCAGAGTGAGCCGTTAAGAGAGAAGAGGCTGTGAGACTCAGGGTGGCTCTGGGAGACAGCTGGGAGTTCAAGGGTCAGAAGCACGTCCATCACTGCCAGGTGGGTTCTATCTTGTGCCGAAGCCACCCTCAGACTTAGCCCATAGTAATCTCTGGAGTCCATACACCTCCACGGGCCTCTCAGGGCTAGCCACTGCCTGTCCCAAAGCTGAGCAGGGAAGAACAGTGGTGGAGGAGCCAGGAAGTCGCCACAGCCCACGCTGCCTGCATTCCTCGTGGCTCTCCCCCATGTCCACCAGCCCGTGTGAACTAGACCACTCTGGTAAGATTCAAGTCTTCTGTGGACTCCTTCCTTCGGAAACAGAGGCTACACGGGGGCCTGAGAAGGTCAGTCAGCACTGGAACAGTGTCCTGGTCCCACTCACTGACCCAGTCCGACCTGGCAAGTGTCCCCAAGCCTCTGAGGGGACACTGTCATCTCCACTCTCCTCTGTGCCAGAAACAATTCATCTCCACTCTTCTCTGTGCCAGAAACAACCCCCACCATCTGAGCACAGCCATAAACTCTCTCCCGGGCACTGCACTCATGGCAAAGTTTTCCAACACAAGGATAAAGGACGGACGCTCTGGTGATGCCCCTTCAAGGCTCCTCCACTCAGAAAGGCCTCACAGACAAGCTGGAGAAGCTCCACGGGCTTCGCAGCCCGGGCTCCACACCAGTCAGGCAGTGCCTTTTCTGGTCCTTGACTGGCTATTAGAGTCCCCTGGAACTTTGCCAAAGAGTAAGAAGAGTTAGCTAGTTGGACGGTGGTGGTGGGTGCACTTCTTTAATCCCAGCACTCAGGTGGCAGAGGCTGGAGGATCTCTGTGAGTTCAAGGCCAGCCAGCCCAAGTTCCGGGACAGCCAAGACTATACAGAGAAACCCTGTCTCAGGAAAGAAGAAGGAAGAAGAAGGGAGAGAGAAAAGGAAGAAGGGAGGAGGGGAGAGGAAAGAGGAGGAGGGGGAGGAGAAAAAGACGAGGAGGAGGAGGCAGTGGCAGCTGCGGTGTGGTGGGGGTGGCAGCTAGACAATGAAAGGCCAGGTGACCAGGGCTGCACAACAAGGCTCCAGGCTCTTCCCTCCCTGGTAGCTCAGTCACCTGAGAAGCCTGCACAGCACCCACACACACACATATACCCCCACACCAAACACACAACCCAACATCCAAGGCAAAAGAGGGCACATTGCAACATCCCATGTAATTTTTAACCACCGGCCTAGAACCCTCCTTCTGTCTCCACTCAGTCCTGTAACCCTTCCCCTACCAGGCAAGAGGCCAAGTCAACCCCCACCCCACCCCACCCCCATCATCATCACCCAGGCCCTGGTAGAGCACGGGAGAGTGCAGGTGGGAAGGAGAATCTCCCAGTCCTCAACCCAGATTCTTCACTAGTGACACACCAGTGATATACTTTTGGCTCGGGATTAAAGGCCAAGCAGTGCCCAGTGCCACCCACAGGCTGAGGGTGTCTAGGAACACATAGGAAAGCTGTGTCCAATGGGGTCTCCACTAAGCCTTCTTGAGGCAGGCAGCCAGGGTAATCAGGATGATGGACAGAAGCAAAAGGGGTCAGTGAGGGGTGGAAGGGGACACACGACATGACCAGGCTTCCAGGGCTGTTCAGCCCTTTAGGTAGTCCTTTCCCCTGATCAACCATTGCAAAGACACACAGCCATCTGTCCAGCGATCTCGGCTGAAGCCGTTGAGATCGTCACACTCCCCCAGATACATGGGTATCCAAAGATGCCTGTGTCTACCAAGTCAGGGTAAGGAGGAGGCTCCCGGTTATTGTCACCAACACATGCCACCATGCAGCCATTCTAGGAGGCCAAAAACAGAAGAATTGGTGGTTCAGAGCACATAATGCTCTTCCAGAGGACCCAAGTTCATTTCACAGTACCCTCATCAGGCAGCTCAGGACTGCCTGTAACTCCCATTCCAGTGAGTCTGACGCCCTCTTCTGGCCTCCATAGGCGCTGCATGCATGCACACACAATTTTTAAAATAATAAAATATTTTAAAAGGAACATATTTAAAGCATCTATAGCACATATTGGGATGATGGGGTAATGGGAACATCTGAATATGTCCTCTTAGTTGCATGACAGACAGGTGTCACAAGCTTCTCAGGAAAGAGAATGTTCAGAGGACACAAGCAAGAGTGCTAAGGGTGCAGCTTATCACAGGAAAAAGGCCTGCAAGTGGACATACAAGGACGTGAGCCCATATGTGGACTCCCACGGCTGTGCGGAGACACAGACACAGGCATGGATATGCATACATTGGATTGTAGGTAAGTGGCAGTATCCAGAGACACATATGGCTCTCTGTGCCTGGGTTCTATTTAAACAGAAACGTACAGAGAGACATGTGTGGTTCTGTGTATGTGGATTGCATGTGTACATGTATGGGCATGTTCATGAATATATGTGTGGGCTGTGGTCGGAAAATGACCCCCAAAGGGAATGGCAGTATTAGGAGGTGTGGCCTTGTTAGAGTAGGTGTGGCCTTGTGAGGAAGAGTGTCACTGTGGGGGTGGGCTTTGATGTCTCCTATGCTCAAGCTACTCCCAGTGTTACAGACCACTTCCTGGGGTTTGCAAGATGTAGGACTCTCAGCTCCTTCTCTAGCACCATGTCTGCTTGCACACCACTGTGCTCCTCACCATGAACTAAACCTCTGAAACTGTAAGCCAGCTCCAAGGAAAGGTTTTCCTCTACAAGAGTTGCCATGGTCATGGTGTCTCTTCACAGCAATAGAAACCCTGGCAGAATGGTATAGTATATGCTATGCACAGGTGATACTTATGTGTACAGATATTCATGTACATGGATATGTGTTGGTGTGTGCACAGGGAAGCGGGAGCCTTTAAGAAATGTGGCTAAATTTCCCGGGGATCCAAAAGAATGCAGCAACTGTTTATTAGGGAAACAGGTTTCTTTCTGATCCTCTTGGGACACTCCTTCCTCTCTTCACCTCAGGGACTCAAGATGACTCAGCAGAGGTGGGAAGAGATGCATCACCCCCCAGGGCTCAAGACATTGTTCCTACAGAGCCTTCAAAACCACCAGGCAAAGTTCCAGGAGAAGTTGAGTGAGACACTGCCTTACAACTAAACTAGAGAGCTGTGGGTGGGGGCCCACGAGGGACCTAACCTCTCAGAGTTGAAATTTAATGTTCACGGCCCAAAACCGATCTGAGTGTTCCCTGATGACTGCAGACTCTAGAACCATCCACACCTGTCCCAAACACAGCCTCCAAGAACCAAGATTATTTGGCTATTCTGGGTCCCACGAGGCTCTCTCTGCACAGCTGGAATTCTGGTGAGCGTTGCACGGATCTGTAAGCAGCTGGGCTGCACTACTGATGCCTTCTCAGAAGGTCCTTGATTGCTGCTGTGTAATGTTTGTGTTGTTCAATGGATTCAAAATACACTTTACACTTTTTTTGTTAACTTTATCCCTTGCTATTTTATGAATTTTTGAAGCTATTATAAGCAGGCTTTTTCTCTTGACTTTTGAGGGCTGTCTGTTGCCAGGGTACACATGCGCTGGCTCTTGACTATGGCTCTGGTGTCCCGCAAGCTTGCAGAACTCATTAGTCCTGACTGCTTCCTGGTGGAGTCCTTGGGACTTTTTATAATTCAAGGCCCAGAATCTACAAACAGAGATGGTTTCACTTCTTGCTTCCCAATGTGGGTGTCTTTTATGTCCTTTTCTTGCCTAACTGGCCTGGCTGCTCCTTCAGGACCATGGTGAATGGTGAATAGGAGGGGTGAGAGCGGACAACCCTGCCTTGTCCTGACCTCAGAGGGAGTGTCCAGCCTTAGCTGGGCTAGTTCTCCGTGTTCCATAAATGTCATTTAATAAGTTGATGAAATTCTTTTGGTGGGGGGGTCAGGGCATGGATTTCGTCAAATGCATTTTCTGGATCTGTTGAGAAATCCATGAGATATTGTTACTCTATCAATATAATGCAATTGTATTAATTTCAAGATGTTAAGACTACCTTGCTTTGTTGGGGTAAATCCCACTTGGTCATGAGTATATAATCTTTTTGATGTGTTGCACATTTGGTTTGCTTTTTTTTTTTTAAGCGAGGGTTTCTCTTTGCAGTCTTGACTGGCCTGAAGCTTGCTCTGTAGAGCAAGCAGGCTGCCTTGAAACTCAGAGACTCACCTGCCTCTGCCTCCCAAATGATAAAATTAAAGATGTGCACCATCCATGTCTAGCCCGATCTGCTATCATTTTGTTAAATTTTTCTCTCTCCATGTTCATGTTTGTATGTTTGTAACTGTAGTTTATTCTTCTTTCTTTCTTCCTTCCTTCCTTGCTCCCTCTTTCCCTCCCTCCCTTCCTCCCTCCCTTTCTTTTCAATGTCTTTGCCTAACTTTGCTATCAGGAATAATCTTGTCTTTTCTCAAAAATGAGTCAGGGGTGGGCCAGCTGGGGCTACATGGTGAAGCCCTGTCTCTCTGGAAGTGTGGGGAGGTGGGGAGGTCCCTATTCTTACGTCTTTTGAGAGTTCGTGAAGAGCTCTGGTAGGTGGCTGGTTTTTCTTGACAGACCGTTTTCGAGTTATTCAGTCTCCCTTTCTGCTTTTGGTTTGTTGTCTCACTTCCTTTTCCTGTTGCCGGGATTAAAGACCCTAACAAGAGTAACTGCAGGGAGGAGAGACTGACTTTAGTTCACAGCTCTCGGATCCATCACATCGGAAAGCTAAGGCACCATGAAGGAGTCAGAAGCAAATGGGCACAGTATAGCCAAGTCAGAAGCATGCATGCTTGCCAGTGCTCAGCTCACCCTCTCTGGGATAGAGATACAGTCCAGGATCCCCTGCCAGAGAACGGTCCCAGCCGAAGATGGGTCTTCCCCTATTAATTAATGTAGTCAGGCAATCCCTGACAGGCACGCCCAGAGACCTCTCTCTCAGGTGATTCTAGACTCTGTCCAGTTGGGCAGTTAACACTCACACATGTCGATCAAGTGTCCATTTCTTGCAGACTTAGTTTAACAAGTTAGTATCGTTGTAGGAACACGTTCATTTCACTGATCACGTAAGTTGATTTCATCTGTGCGCAGCCCTGTGTTAGAGCAAAGCTGGGGGACCGAGATGTCTGAGTTTCAACACTTAACTGCAAAGGCACCATAGAGTTGGACAAGCAGAGGTGTACAAATCGGAACAGCAGAACCAAAAGAAACCCACTTGGTTACGGTTTGCTGCCTCTTGACGTGAGCACCAAGACTGGACAGTGGGGAAGGAGTCACCTTTGAACAGATAGTACAGTAAGGCAGGCATGTGTCAGGGACGATGCCAACCCCAGCCTCACACCATTTACCAAAGAAGACTCAAAGGTAAGAGCTAAAAGCACAAAACTCTTGGAAGAGGAGATGGGAATAAACCTTCGTGGCCTTGGATGTGGCAAATTCCTAGACATGACCACAAACAGCTTGAGCAACAAAGGAAAGAAAGGCAGACCATGCCTCAGGGCCGTGAAATGGCATCGAGAATGGAAGAAAGCCTTGCATTTGTGTGCTTGATAAGGGTTTGTAGCTGGGATATACAAAGAACTCACAACACAAGAGTAGTACGCAATTCTACTATTAGTATCAAGGAATCCAAATAAACACCATTTTCAACGGAGATAAACTACCAGTACAGTCAAAGACTCTAAACCCTCAGCCACTGAAAACGCAAGTTTTCACCACTGAGGCTTCCAGTCAAAAGGCGTGGTGGCGCACGCCTTTAATCCCAGCACTCGGGAGGCAGAGGCAGGCGGATCTCTGTGAGTTCGAGGCCAGCCTGGTCTACAAGAGCTAGTTCCAGGACAGGAACCAAAAGCTATGGAGAAACGCTGTCTCGAAAAGTCAAAAAAAAAAAAAAAAGGCAGAAAGATAGCAGAGCCGGGAAGATGGCCCAGTACAAACAGCAAACTACTCATCCACTACCGACAGGCGTGAATGTGGTTCGTTGAACAATGGAATATTATCCAGCCACATAAAGGAACGAAGCACCGGCATGTGCTATGCTATGGATGACAGATGGTTTAGACTCCCCCAGAGACACCTTGCTGAGTGAAAGGAGCCAGACGCTGTGAGTCATTCACACAGAATACCCAGGATTGGCAATACTCTGGCAGAAACCAGAAACTGATGGAGAGGAGGGGCTGGGGAAGGGGCTGAAAGCCAAACGGTTTAAGGAAACGGTTCTAAAGTTGATAGTATTACCTCGGAATGCGCCAGAAACAATGAATTATATCTCTAAATGAGTGGGTTGCAGGCTTGTGAATGACGTCAACAAAGCTGTAAAAAGCAAGAAAACACCCACATTTCCAAACCCCAAGATCCTTAATCTGAACGTATTTGATCTTTAATGAGGCCGGTGTTTCTCGAGGATTTCACGAAATGTTTCTTTCACATCTCTTCGGTCTCGTTTTCTAAGGAAGTTATTCATAATGTCCTTAAATTACAAGTTCCCTTAGTGATACAGTTAACAAGCTTTCCCAACGCAACAGCGGCCTCTGTGGCCCCCACCGCTCCTCATCCTAAAGGAGCCACATGGGCTCCCAGCGCTTGAGGCTTGCTTTAGACATAGCTGCCGGGGTCAGACCCCCCGCCCACTGTCACATAGACCCCCTACCATGACAACAGAGAGGACAGTAGCACTCTGTGCCCTTCTCCTCCTCCCATCATGTGGACATATTTTCCTTTAGCCTTCAGCAACTACACCCTGGCTGCTCTGGGTTTTTGGATGTACCACACAGTGGAGGATCTCTGTATCAACAGCCTTGGAGTGCCAGCTACGGAGAGGCCCACTGCCAAGTGCAGAAAGGTGGCTGTGAGTGACCATCAGGACGAGTATGGGAGGGGAGGAGCACAACAGCCTAGGCAGGGATGACATTTCCTTCCTAGGAGCCTTGGGGCTAAGTGATGCCAGGCCCCTGGGAGATGCACTGTGGGTTGGGCACATACCAAGGGCACTGCCCTGCTGCCCAGAATCAACTGTCCCTCTCTGTGACCTCACACAGAGAGCCTGGGCTTTCCCCCAAGCCAAGACTCTTGACCCAGCAAATTAATATTTGACTGGACATAATCACCTCATCCTTCACACGGGAGGGCAACGGCTCTCGTGGGGCGTGACTCACACGCACCAAGTATAGGCACAGCACCGTCCTCACTTCCAGGACCTGAGTACCTAGAACACACGGACCAGAGCAGAGGCCGGAGCCTGAGGCCTCCTGCCCAGGATGGGGGTCCTCAGTAGTTGTGGGCTGCAGATGGTAAATAGCACGGAGGCCTCCTGGATGCCCTGGCTAGACAGCCTTGGTGAATGCCCCCATTTGGCTTTTAAGGCTTTAACAGTTGTTTATTAACTGGATCCTTTCACGGAAGGATGGAGCGCATATTCACGCTACTAGATTCCCAAGGGTGGGGAGACGAGGGCTTGCCGTAATTGGGTTAGTGGGGCCTCAGTAAGGCCATGGGGTCAAGCACACCCTGGAGCCAGGACCCACACTGCATTACCCACAATTCTCTTACAAATCTAATACCTTTGTGACCTGGGCCACTCAGCTGTCCAGAAGGTTGGCTGGCTCTTGAGGGAGACTATCACTTTCTGGGGCCTGGGAACCTCAAGATTATGCTAAGCATAGACACTATTGCTTCCGAAGAAACTGGCTCTGGCCTGGAGTTATAGCTATCACTTGACACAAGGCAAGTGTCCTCTTCCCGTGTACACATACAATGGGAGTAGGGACCCAGAGTCTGTGGCTGTCTGTCAAAGCCATTGTCAGCAAGGCTTCCCAGACACCTGACCTGCAGCTGGCCAGGGCAGAGTGAAGTCCCTGTGAATCAGGACAGTGATAACAGGGAGGGCGCAGCGACAGGAGCTGGTGTGGGATTCCCCTCTGTATGATTGGTTAGTAAAGAAGCTGCTGTGGCCTATGGCAGGGCAGAATAGAGCTAGGACGGAAACTAAACCGAAGGCAGGGAGAAAGAAGGCGGAGTCAGGCAGACACCACGTAGCTGTCAAAGGAGAAAGATCCAAGCCAGCCGCCAAGGAAACAAGACATGCAGAAAACTGGGATAATGACAGAGCCTCATGGCAATACATAGATTAATAGAAATGGGTTGATTTAAGATGTAAGAGCTAGATAGACATATGCCTGAGCCATTGGCCAAACAGTGTTGTAATTATTATAGTTTCTATGTGATTATTTGGGTCCAGGTGGCCGGAAAACTAAAGTGCAGTCTCCATTTACAAGGATCCACAATCCCTCCTCTATATCTACACCCATTTAGCCCCCTTTCTCTTCCAAGACTACCCCAGTGCCTGGGATATATCCAAGTCTATCTATTGGGGAAACACACAGCACAGCGTGGGAACCCTATCACCACGGAGGAACTGGCTGAACTAGCCAGGCTAAGAGCTCAAGTGAGGATGGACTGGAAGCCAGAGGG